CTGTACCGTATTCATTTTATCGCAGCCAAAAAAGCGTCAAAGTTTCGGGACTGGCTGGACTGCAGCAGCCTGGAGCTGAAACCTAACAGCATGGCCACAGAGATCCTCTCATATCTGGCCTATGAGACCGTTGCACAGGTAACGTCCTCAAAGAGCTGGTTAAAAAACGACAGCGTAACGTGTTGTAACAGCTTCCTCCTCCTCTGTAGATCGTAGATTTATCTCTGTTAGTGAAGCAGGAGATGACTGTGAAGATGAACGCCGTCAGCCATGTCATCTCTGCCAGCTACATCCACTACAGCACACACACCGAGGTACCGCAGGAGGGCAGCGCATTCAGTCGCTCCGCCCCTGAAACCTCACATCTAAGCTCTGTCAATGTTCGGCTGCAGGTAAAGAAGGATCCAGATTCGCCCGAGGCCACGCCCCCATCCACTCCAGGCTCCTCCCACTCCTCCAAGCCCCTCCTCCAGGGGAACGGCAGCGTGGACAGCCGGGCAAGACAGAGGAAACGGAAGAAGGTGTCTCACTTCTCTCCTCGGTGGCTGTATGTGCCTTTCCTGCAGAAATAACGCTCTGCTGTGTTTTCAGAGCTCTCCGGTCACAGTGGAGCCCCCTAGTGGAGCCATCCAGCCGTGTCACATCAGAGAGGCCATCAGAAGATACAACTACAGACACACAGTGGGTACACAGACACAAAACCACACACTGAGGCTAGCTTAACACCTAGAAATGTGTCGATGGTTTCATTGGATTTAGATGTAAAGCCCCTGTCACACCTTGACGAAGTAGACCAGCGTGATGTACGAAAAATCTGGTAAAAAATGCGTCCATATGTTGGATAACTTATGGGAACGCTTATATAAGTTAGCAGCTGAAACACGCTGGAACGACATACGGCGAGAATGTTGAGAAATTACCCGTTGTATGCCAGCGTGGAGCATAAGTTCCAGGTAAGTTATCAGATGGTTGAGATACATTAAGGATCAGTTACTCAGAAGTCTTGGTGTCTAGTTTATCCAAAAACCTCTGAGTAACTTCTGCATAACTTATCAAGAACTTCTCTCCAACGCGTATCAACATATCAGACATGTTCCAGACGAGCGCTGAACATGTTTCTAACTTCCAGCTACTGTATAATGGCGTATTGGCAGCGTTTTTGTATAAAGGGGTTCACAGGAGGAAACCATCAGTTCTCCTCCAGGCTTCATCCACATCATAGGGTGAGTGTGATGGATCCTCCCTGCGTTTACGCCCACCAACACACTTCCTAGCAGACATGACACTGAATCTACTGCCACTGCAAACCTTCTTTCTTTTTATTTATTTTCTTTTTTTTTTAGGGGTGGGCGACAAACATCGATGCGGCTGAGGGGAGCAGCTTTAACTGATGCTTTAAAATTATGTGCATTATTTCATGGGCATTACGCTGCCGTGCATTACGCATAAGTTAGGCTGTCGTTGGACATAAGGTCTGCACTCGTTATGAATACGCTATGTATACGCCCAAAAAAGAAAAAATACATAGAAAGTTCAGCATATGCCAGTGTTTTAGGGGATTCTGGGACATCAGGCATACGCTGGCTAAATCGGCAAGGTGTGACAGGGACCTATACCAATATTGTTGCTATTAATTAACACATTTTTCACTGCAGGGATTAATCAGCGACCTACTTTGCATTTAGGGATGAATTTAGGGTCTGAAAAAGCTTAAAAATGTTCAGAAGTGTGTCTGTCTTTGATTTAAAGGTTGAAAGCAGGTAAACTGGAAAATCTGCTGAATGAAAATGGAAACAATAAGCCCAGATAGACGTGAAGGATGGAAACAAACCTACAGAGAATGATCAGGGACGTCCTGTGGTCAGCTGCTGTATCCTGACTGCAGCAGCTAAGATCCAGGATTATAGATCAGTTTGAATACATTAGCATTAGTTTGGTTTTCCCTGGAAGGATAAATATTCCAACATTTTTCCATTTCTACAGTACAATTCTGAGTTTATAAAGGAAAAAAAATCTAAAAGGCTCTAATCCCTAATCCCAGGAGGCCAGTGATGGGAATAACGGCGTTGAAAGTAACGGTGTTACTAACGCCGTTACCTTGTTTTAGTAACGAGTAATCTAACTAATTACTTTGACTGTAACTATAACGCAGTTACCATTGCAAACACCCCGTTACTGCACGTTACTCAGGTCGCACAATGAACCTTTTTTCATGATAGGACTCGTGCGCAGCTGCGTGAAGCTGACACCCCACCCACGTCAAAAAACTCTCTAAATAGACTGAATGGTTAGTGCAACGTTAGAGCAGATTTGTGCAGAAAAAAATATTGTTTGTGCTACTTTAGTTTAAGAGATATTAAAGATTATTTTTAGGTCATCCAGAGGTGCGCGCCTTGTCATGAGAGAGGGGAGGATGAGAATGGCTGATGTATAGTGAGATTCCGTCTGTCAGTTGGGTAGGTGGGTGTTTCCGCTGGTGGGTGTTAACGTACAGCACACACAGAGAGATGGAGAGTGAGGATGACTCCAGCAGCAAAACAGCGTTTTCCAGATGGAAATACCAGTGTCACGTCGAGCTGCGTTTCCCCATCACATACGGTTTCCTCTGCATCTCCGCACAGCGCAGGCGGCACGAGTCACCGCGCAAGCGACAGGAAACTCGCATGCTCGCTAAAGGCGCGCCACAGTCGCCCTGTGCTCGCGCCACAGGAGAACTATGGAGAGCGTGAACGGTCAAATGAAAGGGAGAAATCTGGATGGATGGATGGATGGATGGATGGATGGAGTCTGCCTTTCCAACCTACTGTATTTTTTTATTTCAAACATTATTTGATGGCCTTTGTGGCAGGGATGGAGATCCATATTTTATGTCACACCCAGAGTATACATATAGATAGATAGATAGATAGATAGATAGATAGATAGATAGATAGATAGATAGATAGATAGATAGATAGATAGATAGATAGATAGATAGATGTTACAGTATCTATAACAACCCAAACACACAGGATTTCAGAATTATACATCCCCAGTTATTAATTTCATATACTCACCAGATCTGAATGCCCTGTTAAAAAACTTCACATTGCGTTCCCCCCTGATGTCATTTACGTTGAGTTGCAATAAATGCAAAACTCTCTGCAGGTTCTTGTCTTTGTCGTCCGCTCTATTCAGCTGGCTTTGGAAACACACAGCGAGAAGGTGGGGGCTGGGTGGTGAGGGTTACGTGGGCGAGAAACGCAAAAGTAACGCAATAGTTACTTTTACTAGTAACTAGTTACTTTTATTGTGGAGTAACTCAGTTACTTTTTGGGAGAAGTAACTAGTAACTATAACTAATTACTTTTTCAAAGTAACGTGCCCAACACTGCAGGAGGCACAGCCTACCAATACCAACACTCTTCCTCCAGTAGGGTCTAAAATGACCCCTATTAAAATGAATGTTTTTGCAATAGTCAATTCTCTTATTTTGGTTACGATTATATATTTTGCTCAAACAAGAGTCATTTTATTTTTGACATATACATGTTTTTTACTCCTCATTCATATTTGATGAATCAGTCCAAACTACTTGCTTCTGGCTGTGAACGCTGCACACAGGGATGCTGCATTTCCAACAGCAAACAGTGGCGTCGCCATCTTTGATTCTTGGACACAACTGGAAACTCTTCCTCTTCTTCTGACCCTTTGTGCTTCTCTTTGGCTCCTACATCCTGCAGGGAAGTTTTCTAAACCTGAAATCAGGGAAACTGATTTTTCCGTTTCACAGAAAGAGTTTCTTCAACCCCTGTTTCAGTCGCCATAGTAACATCCTCCCAGAACTAACCTGGTCAGCAGCAGGTTTTCTGCAGTAAACTCAGGGTGTCCTCTGTCTCCTCTATCTTTACAGCCAATCAGGCTGTTTCATTTCCTGATTATTTAGTCACATTTGTGTTGTAGATTTGTTCATTAAAAAAAAATATATATATATGTATATATACACATATGTCATTCCATCTATAACCAACATTAGGTTTTAAAAACATTGCATGTCCATTTGATGAAGATCGTATTAACGAAAGATCGGCACTTTTTCACAGAGAATTTAATATTTTGCTGATTTTGGTCTGGAAGACTCTTATTTTAGTGAGAGTGCTTCTAATAAATGTGAAAACAGCCTGCCATAGCCCACTTCATAAAAACTTGCGCAATAACCTTCTCCTTCACCATCTTCCTCTCCTTTGTAGCTGCCTTTTAAACACTTATTTTTTTATTTTGCATTTCTGCATTAAAATCTCTAGTTCCACTTGGGGTGAAATAGGCACATCTGTTGCCATGGTGACTCGTCGAATCGGTGCTCCACTGATGATGGCTTTTCATACTTATTGCACACATGTTAAACTGTGAATGGACCTAGTAAACATTGATTGAATGAATTCATAGCAGCCATTGTGGAACTGAACACTCAAGAGTTCCCCACTTTAGTCTAGATAGATTTAGAGTTGAGAATTTGAATCTGAGTTTGTTAAACGGACCCCAGAATGTGTTCAGGTTTGCAGTATTACCTGTACATTGTGAAGTTTCATCTTTTTAAGACTAATCTTGAAGTTCTTTGGACTTCTTGTAGTATTTGCTCTGGAAGTTAAATTTTGGGCTTGCCATGCGAAAGTGGACAGAACGAGTGATTGTCGAGCTTTGAACCAGTTATTAATTTGTGCCCAAAAAGCTAGACTAAAACACTTTCTGGCCCAACTCTCAAATTAAGATCTCAGCTGCCACTGAAAGAATGAGGCCCTTTGAGAAAAAGTGACATGTTTTCATTTTAAACTGAATCCAAGTCCTGATTTGTGGAAATAATTGACCACCTAATATTCCTAACTTAACACCGTTTTTTTTGTCTTTTTCCCCCAGAGTGCCTACAGGAGGAGTGGGATGGCTTTCCTCGCCTGCTGATGTAGCAGATTACTGACATTTTCATTTGGTTCATATTTTAGCAATAAAAACTGCACAAAACTACATAAGTTGATGGTTTTTATTGATGAAAAAACTTTATTCAAAACTTAGAGAAACAAGGACGATTAAGCTCAGAGCGCAGCTTTGGGAATCACAGCATCATCAGCACATAGAGGCAGAGCGACTGGGAAGTGATGAGGGACGAGCTGTTTCAGTACGACGTGGTGGAAAGTTACTGGAGGCAGATTTCTTGTTTTAGATGCGAATCAAACTGATCATAACTTCTGAGTGCTGCTGAGCAGAGACTCCCTCTCCATCAGCAGCTCTCCGTATCTCTGCTGAAGCTCCTTCTCCCTCTCCATCTGCCTGTCCACGTCCTCCCGCAGAGCCTGGAAACACAATAAAAAAAAAGGATAAATACATTTATATCAGAAACTTTGTTAGATCTAATAAATAAAAAAATTGTGATTTTTGTTCCATATTTGTTGCAAATAACATCTTTTGGAAAGAATAATAATAAAAAAGCTATCCAGAAATTAAGCTGTGAAGAGCTTAATTATTAAAATGTTTTCAGAGTAACTTTGCTGGTTTTGCTAGGTTTCATCTCTAGTTGACATTTTTTCTCTCCATTTTCTTTGCCAGCAACAGCATTGTATCAACAGATACTCCATTAAAAAACAGGCAGATTTATAAACACCAAAATGCACTTTCCTCTCCAGCATCCGTATCATTAGCACATTTTCTCAGGAATAACATTAACCTTTAACACACTACAGTTTAGTACGTTTAATAAACGAAATGTAGATCTTTTTAACAAACTAAAATCGAGGGCGACCCGGATGTATATCTGGAAACGAGCTGGTGGAGCATGCGCAGAACGGATCGTGCTTATGGGACGGACCGGGTAGCGACAGTAGGTACCAGATCTGCCCAGCAACTCCCGTCAAACTATCGTTTCTCCTCAACATATATTATTTTTAGTATTCCCTATATTTGCTATTTTACATTTCATTGGTGATCTAGTGTAGTAAATAATTCTCAATCTTGTAGAAAATTACTGTGTTCTAAAACTGAGCTTTTAATGGCAAGGTCTTTTTGTTAAGGTCTGAGGGCAGAGCAGAACAAATGAAGCATCTTAAAAATGACTTTTGTAAAGATTTTAGACAAAACAGTTATTCTACTTTCTACAATCAGTTGTTGACATGAATTTAAAAGTAGCGTAGCTTAATATGGTTAACTGACCAAGCTAATAGAGGCTAACCTGTTAGCTACTGAGCTAGCCACAGCGCTACCAGCTCTCCCCCCTTTATATTCTGGTCTAACAGTTACTTTGTTCACCATCAACAGATTTAGTTTCGGTTTTGTTATTAATAAGGTAAAACTTCAGTCATTAGACACGCTAATGATACAGATGCTCCAGACTATGGAAAGCCATTTGGTTCATTTACTTCTAACATTAACAACACGTCAATGACACGTATTTTTTGCGTTAACTTCTTGTCTTCGCCTTTCATAACCTTTGTTACATGTTACCTACACCCTTATCCCCACATTATTCTCCGGGCGCCCCATGATGGCAGCCCACTGCTCCCCAAGGGGATGGGTTAAAATACAGAGAAAGAATTTCAGTGCTCTGTACTTGTGACGGTTTAAATGACAAAGTTGACGACTCCTAAAATCTAATTCTATGTATCAATCCAACCCACAGACAGTTCTACTTTAAAAAAGAAAAACACACTATGGATTTATTAATTTTATTAATCTTAAAACACTACTAGTGTTAAGAGATATATTCCTGGCTTTTACGCTTGATTTTTGTTATTAAAATATTAATATCATTACTGTCCCTTTTTCCTAATTTAATCTTGAAGAAATGTACTTTGTTTTTATCTACGAGTTGGAAATGTCCCCAGATTTGATTACAGAAATCTGGTCACCTTATTTTACATCATGAGGCAACGTTCAGCCAATCATGCAGCGTAACATCACTGGCATGAAGCAGGACCCGAGCAGATCTGCTACCTACAGCGGATATTTTAAATCTGCGTCACGTTTGTCTCATTTCCAGTATTTTCTACTTCACCACAAGGTCTCACTTCCTGGCTGAATGGTAGTTTAAATAGACCCCAGGGTCCATCTTGGTTGGACTGTCAGAATCGCAATACGGACAGGAATAAATCGGATTTATATTGTTTTGAAATATAAAGGGTCGGATCCCTTCACTGAAATTATGCAACGGTCCCACTTCAAAAGGAACGGAGATGTCAGATACATGAAAAACACATCAGACATCCACCAATTCACGGATATGGAGGGAGTTCACATGGAAAAATCTAATACGATTTTTCATCACGCCTAAAGTCAAGAATAAATGTAAGGATAGAAACACGGGGTGTTGATGGAATTGTGGATCAGTGAACGCCGACCACTCTCACATATTTTGGAACTGTCCTAACATTTTTTTTTTTAAAACTGTACATGAAACTGTGAAGAAGATTCTGGGATATAATATTCCTATGAGTTGTGTGGTACTATATATTAACAATTTGAACAATAAAGTAAGAGTAAAAGACAGGTATCCGATTAAGATATTGTTAATAACTACTAGAAAAGCAATTACGAGGAAATAGGGAAAGGCAGACCCCCTTTGTAAAAAACAATGGACTGGAATAATAGAAGAAATCTACGTCATGGAAAAACTGACACATCTTCTAAGACTTCAACAAACTCAATGGAAGAAAAATGGAGAAAAATTGGACAACATTCAGGACAAAAGACAGCGACAAAGCTAAAGAACTAATTAAACTTGACAAAGGTCAAATAGAGGAATAGCTCCCAACTGAAAGTTTTATGTTATATAATATATATATATTTATATAATGTGAAATGTTCATGTACACTGTATATTAAAAAAAAGGTGAAATATAACAATAAAAATTTAAAGGATAAATAAATTTTAAAAAAGGAACGGAGACATCGATGCCAGCCGTGACAGAAGCCTCTCTTCCCATTAATCACAGAAACCTTTCATCTCGTGTTTTCACAGAGTTTAAATAAACAGAAGTACTGAGTGTTTTACCGCTTGTCTCCTGGGAATGGCCAGATCCTCCTGCTGCTTCAGCTGGTTGAAAGTCTGCAGCTCGGTGGCCGCTTGCTCCACCTGGTGGACAACACAGACATTACATGGCAGCGACCGCAGTATTCATTCATTTCATGATGATCATTTCTTACATCCAATTAGAAATTATCATTAACTTATTTTTCTTTCTATCCAGAACTACTCATGTCACAGTTTAAGCCTCACTTGGTTTAAATTCTGCATAAAATCTTAAAGCCATTTTTTAAATTGAATCTATTCATCGGAAAAATTTTTGACAGACAAAATACACTTTACTACGATATAAGAACTGGTTGTTCTTTACGGAGGCATATTGCATTCACCAAAAAAAAAAAAATCTAACAGCGTAACTACGAGATAAGATCTCATAATTAGGAGACATGTCATATTTATGGGATTAGGAAGGACAGGCATTGCTGAGCTATGCTACATGAAACCAACGAGTGGGTTGTCTGATTTAACCTGCTGTTATTTCCTTTAAGGTGTGGGTCACTGGGAAATACTTCAGATTCAATGTGGATGGAATTAGTTTTAGTTTGTCAGCATTGCACAGTAAGTCCTTAGGATTGTTTAGGCGCTGGAAGTCGCACCGTTCCTGCAGGAGAAATTAAACCAGTACGGGATGCTTTAAGGTTATAATTAATGCATCTGAAATGCATTCCAGCTGGCTTGGTGATGTCCCAAAGAGCTATTCGATACCTTCTCCAGGGTTTATACAGCCATGAGTAACTCCAGTTCAATGCTTTTTAATGCCCTTTTAATGTTCTTATCGAAATTATTTTGATGCCATCAACAACCATGACTCTCCTATAAACACAGAAAAATCCTTCAGCATCTTTAGCGTTGACAGGCTGCAGCCATGTCCTGAATTCCTCGTTTTTCAGGCTCTTATGTTGAAATTTTCCTTTCCCCCCCCATTCTCTTGCTTTTTCTTCACTTCAAGCTTCTTTTTGGAACATACAGCTTTACAACCAACCGTAAGCATCCAGTTGATGCAAGATCCGTATCCAGTAATTGTGAGATGCAATTTACTTCTTAAATCTATCTTTGTGCTGTAAACTATCCAGAAGTTTTGCAATCTCACTTCTCCTCTCACTCCCAGCTTTGTGATCGGCTGCATATTCAGCAGCCTTCCCTGGAAACACCTTTCCAAGTTTCCCAACCCACTTCGGGTTGCTGACCCCAGCTCTAAACAAAAAAAAGGACTGAAGGTCTTATATTTTGATCTTGAATCTGTAAACCTTTGTCTTGCGCCACGGGTCACACTGAGCTGTGAACATGGCGACCCTCTGCGATGAAGCGGAGAGCGGCTCATCAGAACCTCCTACCTGCTCCCACAGTTCATTGTGCTGCTTCAGGAGCCCCAGCGCTCTGGACTGGAATCCTCCCAGTAGAATCTTCAGTTTCTTCTCCAGCTTCGCTGCTCTGCGGGCCTCCGCCGTCATGTGGCCGCGGTTCACCTGGACGGTTCACAGAGGCGGGTTTGGACCAGAACTCTCACAGCCACGTTGATTTAACTGAACTGTTCTCTGCTTACCTCCAGTTTCTTCTCAAGGCTTTCAATCCGATCCTTCTTTGATGCCAGGTTAGCTCGGGTGTACCTGTTCTGACCTGCTAGATACAGAACCTGTGCAGCAGGAGAGACGGTTAAATGCTGAGAAAAGCTGGGAGGATGAGGAGGATGAGGAAGAGGAGCCCATGCTTACCTGCCCGTAGCATTCCTCCCACACCTGGGTGTAGGCCTCCATGCTGAGATCTCCGTGGCCCATCCCCGCTTTCACCACCTCCATCTCCGCCGTCAGGATCGCCTTCGCCTGTTCAACACGCAACATGTGAAACCCTCCGCCTCCTTTGGTTGCCAGGTAACGGCATGCGGACGGCGTGTCTGACCTGTTCCATGTCCTCCGTGCTGATGGGCTTGTAGGGGTGAGTTTCCAGGTAGGAGATGTGCGAGGCGTTGTTGGACGTGGAGGCGGGACCTTTGGCTTTGCCGCGCAGCAGCTGATTGGCTGCGGTGGTGGATGGATGGTGCAGACAGTCGTGATGCAGCATGGTGATCATTTCCTGTTTGATGAGCTCCTCTGCGACCTGGAGGTCGGTGAGCGGCTCCATGGAGGAGGGGCGGAGCACCGACTCGTTTACCTGCAGGGAGAACCACACATCACCATCCAGCGCTTCAAAAATCTGGCGCTGTGAGCATGGAGGAGCGAATCATACCTCCGTCGGTCTGGGGAGGCTCCTCTGAACGGGGGTGTGTCGAAGTTTCAGCTCCTTCTCCCTCTCGGCGTCCCGCTGAGCCTGAGGAAACCAATGTTTTAATTTAACGCCACGGCGAGGAGGGGCTCGTCCTCAGGGCTCTTTCTCCTCCTTACCTGTTTGCGCGCCTCTATGTCTGCCGAGTCCTCGATGAATCCGCTCTCCATCTCCGTCTCCTCCAGCTCCTTCTCTGCATTTTCAGGAAGAACGATCTCAAAGTCGTTCTTAGGAACAGGAAGTGACAGCAGGCCCTGTCTCAGCTGCTGCAGGCTCTCCTTTTGCTGCGATGAGAAAACAGCTTTTCTTTAATGACTCTTTGACAGAAAACGTATACCTGGGTAAGACAAGTTTTTTAAGATTTAAGAGAAATCTGAAAAGTGAGGCATGTCCTTTATGAATTGAATTATCCATGTACTGAATTGTGCTTTACAAATAAAATTGACTAAAACAGCCACTGTGATTTTATCTATTTAAAAAAATCAGAGTAATCATTAAAAAAACATTTAACAAACAGGAGACTATTATAAAATAAAAACTGAACTTTATTGATCTCACATTGGAGAAATTCACTCTCTGCATTTGAACCATCTCCTTGGGGAGCAGTGGGCTGCCATCATGTGGCGCCCAGGGAGCAGTGTGGGGTTAAGGGTCTTGCTCAGGGGCCCAGAGTGGAGGCTGTGGGGATCGAACCGGGTACTTGGACCTTCTCACTGCTCCAACCACTAGGCCACCACTCCCAGCACTTAATGTGATATATAGTGCATTACTCAAAGCGTAGCCTTTCTGGTATTGGCGATGCAAAATAAATATTTTAATCTTTGCGCGTTTGTGTTCATGTAGCCATCAGCACCTTCACAGCCAGTCTTCCAAAAAGCCCCATTTTTAATTAAACCTTCTCTTTATAGCGTTGTCCCTCAGAAGGCTCGGTTGCTCCAGCTCTACACCGCCACAGTTTGCCTAGCTGTTGGTAAATGTGGGGTGTGCTCTCTGTATGGGTCTCTGGGACAGAGGGGAGACCTACCAAAATAAAAGCTGAAAGGACCTGACTGAAGAACAACTGTGCTTCTAACTAGTGATGGTTATTGATGCATCGAAGCCAAACTGTATTGATGCTGCGTTGATACTGACACCTGCTGGAGATTTAAAGACACTACAGGCAGATTATTGGACAGACTAAAATGAATTGATTTGATGACCTAATACAATTATATAATTTAAGTTATTGTACGTTGTATTGTAATATTTCATATCTTTGTTTAAATTTTAAATATCTTTGAAATTTTTAGTTACAGCCAATAAATAATGTAAACATTTATCATATTGTGAAAATTTAGGGGAAATATGAATGAAGATGCTTGTGAACTAGGACTTCAAGTCTTTTTTTTTTTTTTTTTTTTTTAAACAATAAGTACAGTAAAAACAGTAACTCAGATGAAAGGGATGACACAACGAGAAAATTTAAATAAAAAAAAAGACTGAAACCTTCCTATTCCTTTTAGGCTCCAAAGTTCTTGATAATTTTAATGATTAACCGCAAAAAGATGAGAAATTTTTTCAGCAGATGCATCATGTTGACAGATACGTTTTTAAACAGAGTTTAGTGAGTCGGTCAGTTAGAAACGGCTCCTGTATCGGTCACATGACTTTCTGGAAACGACACGCGCACCGATGGTGTTTTGCTATATGGGCTCCACGCATGGGTGTTACTAGATCCATCACTAGTTCTTACATTAACTCGCCTTGTGGCGAATGGCGCTCTGGCATTTATCTCACCTGATAAAGATACTAGTTGCATTTGGCGAGTGGTCATTTCGGACCCTGTTTGCTAACTGTGACGTAGTTCCCAGAGAAATCCAACAATTTGCTGCTTTTTCTTCTGGTTTCTTTTAGAAGAAAAGTTAAAACTCGACTCCATGAAGTTCTTTACATTAGAGATATCCAGATCAGCAAACAAATAAATAATATCAGACCACAGCTAAAACCTCCGTTATTATCCTGATAAAAACACTCTGCTTCTGTCTAAAGTTATCTCACCTGTTGGTTAATAATTATTAATAACAGGTCAGTTATTCTCATACCAATTATAAATGACTAGTGTTCTGGGTTTTTTATCCCTTGATCAAAGTTTTTCTAACATTGAAATAAGTACTAAGTGTATGTCTCCATGCAAGGTGAAACAGCTGAAGGCTTTTAAAGGTGAATGTTTTTACCACGTGTTTGGCAAACGCCGGGTCAGCCAGCTGGTCTTCTGCGTTAATGTTCAGTTTGTCCCTCAGAGGCGTGCGTGCAGGGGTCAACCCTGGAGTACCACGAGGCGTCAGCCCTCCGGCCAGAGGCGTCATCCCATCAGAGGCCTGACCGGGTCCAGGAGTTCTGTCCCAGAAAGGTGAACAAACAGATCAGGTTGATAGCATTTCATTAAGGAAGCGAGGAACAGGAAGATATGTTTAGGTGTCAAAGAAGAAGAAGGAGCAGCAAGGACTGAGCATTAGGGCAAAACATTTTCATAAATTTTTACATCAGATAAACTGCTTTTATTTAAACCTTCCACTCCACTGAGCTTAATGTAAAGGAAAAGTCCGCTCATATTCAGAATTAAAACTTCTGAAAGTACTTTAAATATGAAATTATTACATCCTGTTCAATAAATGATCAGTGTTTTTAATTCAGAGTAATTTTCATGTGAATGTTCTTTACTGGAGGCATCCATGTTTGTCAAAGAACCCTACTGCCACCTACTGGTTTGTGACGTCACGGTGCGGTATCGGCTGTTGATCAAGTCCCAGTGCTGTATCTGGTGTTTGTCACAACGCGCTATTATCCAAGTCATCTTGAAAACATTCTTCTTCCAAATGTTGGCTACATATTACGGGTTTTTTCTCTGGCCAGAAGTTCGATGGAAAATCCTCCCTCTTCAAGTTGGCGATCCAACGACCAACCCGTCCGTGGAGGATCATGAATAGGAAAGGTGAAATCATTCTTTTTTTTTCACTTTTACCCGATGTATTCCAACATCCAGCTGCCATGCACGTGGGCATTGTCAGTTTCACTATAGCTCTTGTGAATTTCAATGGTGAAGTCCTCTGGAAATCTTCAATAATTGTTGTTGATTGCAGATGTGTCTAGTAGTTCCCATTGATTCTGCTTGTAAAGCGGGGAGAATGGCGCTAGGCTTACCGCACCGTGACGTCACTGCTGGAAGATGGCAGGAGGGAGGGGCTACTATATTTGGGCAAAATGGCCGCTCCCAGACTCAGTGATCGTTTTTTAATTTCATTTATTTAGAGTAAGACTACAGGTATTTATTATCGTTTTAACATGTAAAGGGAGGACGACGAAGCAACAGTCGGCTTCAATAATCAGCCCAGCCGGATTAGACTAACGAGAAAATAATTGGTATTAGTCGACCTCTAGAAGGACTCCTGGCTCCACTGCTTAGAGTCTAAATATTCATCCGTTTGCCTTAAAACATAAAATGATTCCTCATCTTTATCCTTTTTATTGTTCAGTTTAATTTGGGAGAAGGACTTTAGGAAAGCATCTGGGATCACCGGGTCTCACCTGAATGGCGTGCTGAGCACCGTGTTCGGGGTCTGAACCTGCTGCCGCTGAGGCGTCACGCCGCTGAAGTCGCTCTCGTGCAGCGGGGTGTTGAGGCCTCCTTTCAGGGGCGTGTCGATGTTGGTGAGAGCCATCAGGTTTTGGGCTTCCTGAAAGGGAAAACACTCTGGGTTTACTGGGAATCTGCATTATGTGATAAAAAACCCCCCAAAACAACTAAAACGATTCATCGGATCAGCTATAATTTAGGAAATAAATCTATACTTTCCTTCATATTTGTGTTACATCCATTAAACACTGATGGATTTCATCAAAATAAAAAGGTTCAAATGCAAAGGACTCACACATTGTGCTGGTGAAGATTCCCTGTCATCTAGGTCATAGTCATTCAAAAAAAGTTAAAAACAATCCACTGGACTTAGTTTTCAAGTTTGGAGATGTTTCTCTTCCCATCCAGGAAGCTTTTTCAATTCAAAATGTCAAAAATAGTGTGGAGTTCCAGACTTTATAAAGTAGCCCAATAATGCCTTGTTTTTGTTAAAAAAAAAAAAAAAAAAAAAAAAAAAAAAGCAAACTGAAACAGACGAACGGGTCCACCCTTTTGGAACCTATGTCTCTGAAAGGCGGGTCTTAAAGGGAATTGTTGGCCTGGCTGAGTAGGTGAGGTCTTCTGTTCCCCTGTAACGGGGTGGGGTCACTGATAGCGGGAAGGAATCAACTTAATTGCTACACTATGCGTATTTCCTGCTTGGTACCTTAGCGGCTTGTCTTGTTTGTATTACCACCATTGTGGAAAATGACTCGTGAAAATGGACCAGCTAGAAGAGTGAGGTGCGCAAGAACGCTCGGACCATTTTTCCACCTGGATCCCTGCTCTTTTTCGCTCTTTTGTCCCTCCGTTGTCGCAAAAACTTGCCCCAACTTCCTCACCGGCTCAGTCGTATCTTGACCCACAGCTAGTTCCTGATTATCCATCTTGCCTTGTGCCGTGGAATAACATAGCGCAGACCACGCTTCACTATTGGGCATAAATCAAAAATAACTGCGACACACTGCTGCAGGAGAATAACCAGCCCTTAAGGTGGGTTTTTCTTTTCTTAACATGGATGGCTTTCTTCACATTCCTCTCAATCCACCTACTTTGGGCTGCTGTGTAAAGCTTTGAACTCAACGCCATTTCCAAACATTTTGAATAGAAGAAGCTTCATGAATGGAAGCAAAAGTCTTTAGATTTAGAAACATAGGACAGTAGATGGTTTTTTTCAACCTTTTTTGGAATGACTTAAACATTACAGATAAAAATTTCACATTTTACCACCAACAATCACCGATGTCCAGGAATATTATTCTAATTTGGCTTTTATTCATCAGTCCTTATTATTAGCGGATGATTTCTATAGCAACAGACAAATACAGATTAAAGACCAGAGGCGGATTTCAGAAATCTGGCTCAGAAAAGCAAGACATGTGGCCGCTGTTCAGCATCCAGTGAAGAAGAAAAGCTGAAGAATCGGGAAGCTGTGCTCCAATCTAAGCCCGTTTTATCAAACGTCCCTCAGAGACCTTAGAAGCTGATCAGTCACCTGCAGGATCCTGTCCTGGGCAGCAGGGGTCCGCGGAGTCCGAAGCCCTGCGGTCATGTTGTTGGTGACGCTGTACTCTGACAGCAGGGCGGAGGAGGCCGAGTTACCGCCTTCGCTCTCCTCGGCCGCTTGGCGAGCGACCTCGCTGGCCACGCCCATTTTGACCACTTCCTCTAACTCAGCATCACTGATCTAAAAGCAAACATCACAGAAACAAGAAACAGAGTTAATATGCTCTAATAAACAGTGATTTAACGTTCCTTATTAAAATCCCTCTTTTCAGATCCATAGTTTCTGCTTTTATTTTAATTTTTATGATGAAAAGATATTCCTCGAAAGCACTATATTTGGACAAAAAAAAAAAAAATAAATAAAATTTCGGATTAACGCTAAATTCATTAAACCACTGGGAATGTATTAGTTTTAGGTATAAATAAAGATCCATTGATTATTCCCTGCTGACTGGATTTTTCCTTTAATGAATAGATGGAATTGAAAGCAATCTTTCAATTCCAGGAAAATATTAAAAACAATTTCCTATAGGATCCCTGAAAGTGGTAGAAGACGGCGGTGACCTGTGGTGCAGGCAGGACCAGTTTGGAGCGTTTCTTGGTGAACTCTGCAACGCCGCTGGTCTGCAGGATGGCAGAGGGCAGATCGCTCTCCTTCTTCTTCTTTATCTTTTGCTTATCCTTCTTCCTTTCCTTCTCTTCGCGTTCGCTGCAAACCAACCAGTCACACATCGTTTTTAGTTTGAAGTTAGTTCTTCAGAGGAATGTGAAATGTTTAAAAACAATATTTCTCTGTAGATCCAGAGCATGTAGAGCTGGAAAGCGTTTCTGACCTGCGCAGTTCTCCGTCCAGGTGCTGCTGCCTGAGCCGTTTGAAGTTTGGCTCCAGAGCGTCGTACTGCTCCATACTGATGTCATAGAAACCCTTCATGGAAACACAAGCAGAACAACCTGGTCATCACACCGGTTTACCTGGGGATCCACACAGTTAACGGTGTATAAATAAATACCGCTGCAGGCTTTTTTTCAAAGGGGATTTCAGCGTTGTAGTTCACGCCTCTCTTATGCTTCCTCTTCTTCTGCACATTGATTCCCGCTGCACGCAGCTCCCTGCGTTTCTGCAGAGCAGCCAATCGCCTGTAGTCCAACAACAACATTAACATGCATCAGCAGCTTTCATACGAGTTCCCTTCGGACTAAACTCAGCCCATCAGTAATGGGTGGATATAAAAGGATAAAAAAGGACCTGGCTTCCTCCAGCTGTTTCTCTCTGGCTTTCCTCTTGGCTTTTTTGCCCTGTGTGTTGGCCAAACGAGCTCTGGCCTCTGACAGCATCTCCAGCTCATCTGCACATAGAAACAACTCACTGTTAGTCATCAGGCCTTCCCTGCTAACAAAGCATCTAATAAATCACATATTAATGGTGTTAAAGCTAAAATAATTGTTTCATTGAATAAAGATGGATTATATCTTTACATATTTAGACTTAAAAACGTTGTCATTTTGTGTACACAGAATGTATACACAAAGACATTTCGATACCTAAAGCTGCTGTGTTTTTGTCTGAGGAAGAAGAAGAAGAATCCTAATTTGCCACTTGAGCGATTTGCCCATGACCACCTTACAACAGCCGAATGAATTTCCAAAATGTTTGATTTTCTCCCGACCTTACGATTCCTGATTGGGAGGTGATCGTTAGAGGCTGATGGTCCCTTGTTACCCCCTGTTCACTACATGACTCACGACGCAATATCAGGCTGAACGGCGGCCCGATCAAAAAATTCTCACATCACTGGAGATTCGGCCCAAAAGGGCAAAAAATCCTACAGTGTGTGAAGCTTTAGCGGTGAAATGAACATTTCCATTTTTAAAGTGCAGCAGTGATCAAATGTGGAATTGTTGAGAGCTGTGGAGGGCCACTGCCTATAGGTGGCGCCATTTTTAGCCTGTTTCATTACAGAGTTATTGCCTAGAAATACATATAAACCAGTTTTCATTTAACAGAAAAGGGTGATAGATGCAAAGATCCATCATTATTATTTTCTACAGTTCTTGACATTATCAGTTTTTTTTTTTAAATACGATATTTTGAAGCTGATATTCAAAGCTCCCACAATATGTTTAGCAAGTAATATCCAAAAAAATTAGGCAAAGTAATTATAATTTAAAAGGAAATATCTGTAAAACGGAGGTTAAAAACTACAGTAACGGATTTAGAAAACGCATAAAAAGTTTGACACAATGTTGAACGGGGTTCAAATTCTCGAGTTTTTTGCGCTTGATGTTAATGTTTGAAATACCTTCATACACCAGCAGCTGGTTTTGTTTCAGTATTTATCAGGTAAATATGAAGGTTTTTTTAGTTTGCATCATTTGATCGGACCACGTTTAGTTTGCCAATCACCTTCGTCCATGTCCACGGGGTCGGGTCTGGCAGGTTTGGTCTCAGGGTTGGGATCGATCTCTCCTGGTTTTAACTTCCTGGGATCATCTCCCACCTCTTCCTCGTTCTCCCTCTGGGCGGCTTTGTCTCTAAACCAGCAGAGAAGACAGAGTGGGATGAAGGAAGCCATCTAAAAGGAGGAAGTCTGCTTTGGACTGAGCGGAGAGCGTCTCATACAGCAGGTATTCGTAATGCTCGAGACACTGGGCCGCGGTGCGTCCAATGATGGGAGCGATGGTCCTCCACTGAGTGGGCATCAGCTTGGCCAGGTGAAGCAGCTTCTCCTCCTCTTCTCTGGACCATTCCGTCTTTTTGATGCTGGGATCCAGCCACTCGTACCTACAGGCACAATGAGAGCCACGTTTATGATTGATTGACTTTACTGATCTCAAATAGTCAAAGAAGAAGAATGTGCCAAAGGAAGTAAAAAGTGCATTGGCAGGTCTAGACAGGGGCCAACAGGGGGCCCCTTTACTGAAGACATAATACTCAAAGAAATTCTAATGATGATATTGGTTTAAACAACGGACATCCTTTGGATCCATTTCATTTTTTCTTTACAAATTCTGTTTTTCTAATTATTTAAAAACAATTAGGCGATAGCTTCAGTGGTATTGAGATAGGATCCCAGTTTTCAGTCATCTGCTAAATGTTTTTTTTTTTAAACAAATAAAAAAAAGGTCTATTTTTAACAGCTGAATTTATCTGTTTTTCTTGAGTTCTAATTCGGATTTTATAGAAAACGGTCATTTTTACTTAAATTAGGTAAAAAATATGTAAAATTCCTAAATTCTGAATGCATATTGACCTAATAAGACATAAAATTTTTATTAAACCTAATTGAATAGAAATTTCACATCATGCAGCTATCTTCATTTATTTTAACAGGAAGAAACCTCCAGCAGAACCAGGATCAGCGTGCGCTCTATATATTGCTATATTTTTCCCAGCTATCAAAATTAAATGTTTAGATAAAAAAGCAAGTTCTGCATACAGTAGCAGCTATTCAAAATGGCCGTTCCCAGTCAAACGCCAGCCGAATGGCAGCAGACTCCCCTGCACTCCCTGCAAATTCCCCTGAAACTTCCAGCCACTGCAATAACCCCCCCCCCCCCCCCCCCCCCTTGCATATTTTTTTTACTCTGACCCTTCCTCCAAATTACAGGGAGATTAAGCTTCTCTTTAGATCTTAATGTCCACAAATCATGACAGAAAGAATATTTTAGTACAATTATTGATGTTTAAAAATAAATTATAGGAGACCAGCCAAGGAAACTGTGGACATTTTGAACGGCTACTACTGTAGGTTCATTAAAAGATAAAGATCAATCAGTTAATTTGGTATCCATGTTATTTGGGATTTGAATCAGTACTACAGATGTGGAGCTGCCCCACACAGCAAAAGGGCTCCACAACTCTATCTGTGGCGCTACAGAGGCAAAAATGTTTTGTTTTTGTAAAATCGATGCTGGGAACTTAAAGATCGATATATATAAAATCCCAACATATTACCAAATCAATTTCCCCCCACATCCCTTGCGCCTACATATGACAGCTTTTTTTAATAGTAGGATCATTATACGGGGTTATGTACCTGTATTTACACTAAGCAGCATATTCCAGATGAGTTTTTACTGAACAGAGTGATTTAGTGATCAGTGTGTCGGTTTGATGACTCACCAACGGGCTTTGCACTGTTTGGCGGACTTGCGATGGAGCAGGGAGGCGATACGCGACCACTGATTTTTCCCATATTTCATCACCGCCGCCTTGAGGATCTCATCCTGAAAACATCAAAAACAAACAATTAATTTATCTAAAAATGTCTTCATAATTTAAATCAATAGGGCTGGGTATTTTCGCCAAAGTCCTGAATCAATTCGATTTTGGTTAATAAAGTTCTAAATCGATTAATTTCGATTCGATTTGTTTTTATAATAATGAAAGTGGTTCTACTGTGTTTCAAAATACTCGTGTATTTTATTTTTTCCTGTCATATATTACACACAAAGTGCAAACTTGTAAATCAGAGAGTTTAAACTTGAGATGAGAACAAAACTGTCTCATAAGTGCAAACTTGTTTGTGAAAAGTGAAAAAGTGAAGCCTCACTCACTCAGACATGCATGAGATGCATTATCTCCTATCTTTAACAACTACAGGGTTTTTGCTGGTCAGCCCCCATTTGTTAATGTCTTCAGTCAACCTATTAGCTATATTTAAAGCTGTCTAGCCTCGGGATGATAAAATAACTAATAATGAGTAACATCCTCCCATCCTTAAAAGGAGCGGGTGGCTGTAGAGTTTTGCTGCTTCCGCATCCATGCTAAGGTAAACGGGCATCTAAACAAATCAAAATCCACAAAATACACTTGTCCTGCACTACATAAATATTAAACTCCCTAAAAAAAAGGATCTGGAGTTCAATAAGCTTGACTTTAATTTTCCATTGTGTTTTGAGACCCTTGAGTTATTCACGATTGTGGAGCTTTAATTAATTTAATCAATCAACCCTTTATAGGGCTAGTTGGCGCTTTTGATCACGTCCATACCCCTTATAAATGGAGTCATGAGGTCTACAGTCATGGCCAAAAGTTTTGAGAATGATTCAAATGTTAATGTTTACAAAGTCTACTGCTTCAGTTTTTACAACAGCAATTTGCATATACTCCAGAATGTTATAAAGAGTGATCAGCATAACAGCAATTAATTGCAAAGTCAATATTTGCCTAGAAAATGAACTTTATCCCCCAAAGCACATTTCAACATCATTGCAGCCCTGCCTTAAAAGGACCAGCAAACATTGTTTCAGTGATTGCTCCATTAACACAGGTGTAGGTGGTGATGAGGACATGGCTGGAGATCAATCTGTCATGATTAAGTAAGAATGACACCACTGGACACTTTAAAAAGAGGCTGGTGCTTGACATCATTGTTTCTCTTCTGTGAACCATGGTTATCTCTAAAGAAACACGTGCAGTCATCATCGTAGCTAGAAAGATTGCACCTCAGTCAACAATCTATCGCATCATCAAGAACTTCAAAGAGAGAGGTTCCAGTGTTGCCAAAAAGGCTCCGAGGCGCCCAAGAAAGACCAGTAAGCACCAGGACCGTCTCTTAAAAGTGTTTCAGCTGCGGGATGGGGCTACCAGCAGTGCAGAGCTTGCTCAGGAATGGCAGCAGGCAGGTGTGAGTGCATCTGCACGCACTGTGAGGCAGAGACTCTTGGAGCAAGGCCTGGTCTCAAGGAGGGCAGCAAAGAAGCCACTTCTCTCCATGAAAAACAGCAGGGACAGACTGATATTCTGCAAAAGGTAGAGGGAGGGGACTGCTGAGGACTGGGGTAATGTCATTTTCTCTGATCAATCCCCTTTCTGATTGTTTGGGACATCTGGAAAACAGCTTGTTAGGAGAAGACGAGGTGAGCGCTACCATCAGTCTTGTCTCATGCCAACTGTAAAGCATCCTGAAACCATTCATCTGTGGGGTTGCTTCTCAGCCAAGGGAGTCGGCTCTCTCACAGTCTGACCTAAAAACACGGCCATGAATAAAGAATGGTAGCAGAATGTCCTCCAAGAGCAGCTTCTCCCAACCATCCAAGAGCAGTTTGGTGATGAACAATGCCTTTTCCAGCATGATGGAGCACCTTGCCATGAAGCAAAGGTGATATCTAACTGGCTCAGGGAACAAAACATAGAGATTTTGGGTCCATGGCCTGGAAACTCCCCTGTTCTTAATCCCATTGAAAACTTGTGGTCAATCATCAAGAGACGGGTGAACAAACGAAAACCTAGGAATTCTGACAAAATGCAAGCATTGATTGTGCAAGAATGGACTGCTATCAGTCAGGATTTGGTCCAGAAGCTGATTGAGAGCATGCCAGGGAGAATTGCAGAGGTCCTGAAGAAGAGGGGTCAACACATCAAATATTGACTTGCTACATTAACTAATTCTAACTCATTAAACGCTTTGGTTACTCATAATATGATTGCAATAGTATTTTGTAAGTGATGACAACATCTGACATACACACATGAAAACCAGAGGGCAGCAGATTATGTGAAAATATAATATTTGTGTCATTCTCAATACTTTTGGCCTGACTGTAGAAGACGAGATCTATCCAGCCATTCAGCAAAGATGCTGCTACATGGCTGTACATCTTATTATGGCATTTGACCAATTAGATGAGCCCTTAAATGACATATTACCTACTGTAAATTAAGCTGAATAAAAAAAGATAACAAGTCAAGAAAGAAATGTGAAAAGCTAATTGAAAATTTAATAAGCCTAGTTAACAATTCTATGTTGGTTTATAAACTAAAAAAGATGTCAGCAAGTTGGCGTTTCTTGATATTACATTGACATTCATCTTTGCCATCAAAATATCCATATTTTTAATGTTACAAAGGTAATAAGGTGTTTTTCTGGATTTCAAAAACACTATTGGCTTTAAAGTATTTCACTGATTGCCCTATAAAGGGTTAAAAATAATCAACGTCAAATCATCTGAATCAACTATAAAACCCAACAGAACGCTGAAATATGTTAGCTGTTTTGGCAAAGTTTATTTTAAGGCAAAAGCTAATATGTAGCAATTTAGCCCCATAATCATAATAAAGGTTTGGTTTATGATGGCTCTTCCAATATTTGAAAGAAAAACGACATGAAATACACACACAACATATACTAGTTTTAAATGTATATATAGAAAGACTTTTGTGATTTTATATATATATATATATATATATATATATATATATATATATATATATATATATATATATATATATATATATATATATATAAAAATAATTTTTTTTTTTTTTTGACTCGATGAGTAACACTGCATGGTCTAAAGGCTTCATTTTCCAATTAGGTTTTCTCTTTTAAAATGGACAACCCGATCAGTAACCGATGTTCAATAATACATTAAAAGACAAGTCAAACAAAAAAGAAAGCATCTATTTGAGCTGGATTCCGTTACAATAACGTCCGGCTTCATGCTAACTTTCTGGCTTACAGAAGATAGCACCAAGCTAATCATTTAAACACGTACCTCGGTGTTGCGCCAAACGCCTCCTTTTATCATAATTCGCGGCATCTTGACGGTCTGGCGATTTTCTCTCCTTCAAGAAATGAAATTAAGTAAACAACTCTCCTCAAAAAGAACGTGAACTGTTTATTCTTTGAAGAAAATGTCTACTTAACGCGGAACGCTACGAAAAACAACCATGCACCGGAAGCACTGAGTTCCGGAAGGTGTTCAAAAACTAGTTTCCGTCCAAATTAGTTCCCCTTTCAACTACGGTGACACTAATCCATTCTGGCTGACAGTGCCGCAGTCAGAAGGCAGTGATTAAAAATGTCTTAAAATGTTTATTAGCTATTATGGCTAACTGCAGTTCCTTAAAAACATTACTTAATACATTTGTGTATATAAATGTATGGGAAAATTACAAAACAGTTTTTATGTTTACATCCTGAATAAAGTCAATTTATCAATAATATGTCCTTTTCCATTGAGGATTTATATGTCATATAAAATAATTTAAAGGAAAACTCTGGTCATATTCAGAATTCAAACTTCTGAAAGTATTTTAAATATGAAATTATTACATACTGTTCAATAAATGATAAGTGTTTTTAATTAAGAGTAATCTTTATTTGAATTTTTTACTGGAGGCATCCATGTTTGTCAAAGAACACTACTGCCACCTACTGGTTTGTGACGTCACCGTGCGGTATCGGCTGTTGATCAAGTCCCAGTGCTGTATCTGGTGTTTGTCACAATGCGCTATTATCCAAGTCATCTTGAAAACATTCTTCTTCCAAATGTTGGCTACATATTACGTGTTTTTTCTCTGGCCAGAAGTTTGATGGTAAATCCTCCCTCTTCAAGTTGGAAATCCAACGTCGAACCCGTCCGTGGAGGATCAGGAATCAGAAAGGGGAAATAACTTTTTTTTCCCCTTTTACCCCATATATTCCAACATCCAACTGCCATGCACATGGGCATTGTCAGATTCACTATAGCTCTGGTGAATTTCAATGGTGAAGTCCTCTGGAAATCTTCAATAATTGTTGTTGATTGCAGATGTGCCGCTAGAAGAAGTGGTTGTGGAGAGGGAAGTCTGGGCCTCCCTTCTTAAGCTGCTGCTGCTGTGGAGGAAGATGGATGGATGGATACTGATTGAAGGCCCATGTTTATTACAACGATCTGAATAAATCACCTTGTACGTCAGAAATTTCTACTAATGCTGAATCTGCACTTATAGACAGTTTTGTCCTAAAATTGTTAAATCAACTCCTCAGTTTTTGTGGTCTCGGTATCCCTTCAGTGAGACAGCTCAATGGGATCCAAATTCCTCAGAGTATACAAAAAATTATATTTGCAGTTGACTTCTTTCAATGAATAATGTGGTTAGAGATGAAATGAGTTATCTGATCTCATCAACCAAGTAGCTGCATAATACAATGAGAACAACATAGACCCAGACAGAAACCTTTATTTAAACACAGGAAAATTAATGTAAATACTTTCCAACTTAAAATTGCCTCTAACCAAATCAAATGAAACCTTCTCGGTAATCCACTTCAACAGCTGCAGTCTAAATACTAACTTTGAAAGCATCAAAGACTACTTAGATCAGCTTAATAATCTATTTAAGGTCATTGCTATTTCTGAAACTTGGCTAAATAATAAACTGAATGACAATTTCGTATTGAACAGATATATGTAAACAAAAAACCGAACCTCTAAAATGGGGTGGAGTAGCACTATATATAAAAAAATACCAGGCTAAGTAAAGTAGTGGATGATGTCTGTTGATAGTGTGATGGCATGCATAGCAGTTCAACTAATCACAAAAAATAAAATAAATATATTAACAAGTTGCACTTAAGCTGAAGCTAAGGCCCAGGCAGCTCTATGTGGCTACCACTTAAGTTTGCCATCACATGTTGAGTTTAAGGTGCAGCTCCCTGTTATGATTCTTCAGACTCAATCTCCAGCATAAGAGCAGAGTTGTCTTTCAGCTTATCACTGGAAAACAAATGAACACATTTCCAATAAATCCATTATTAATAATAAATGTGTTGTACATGCACTGCAAAAATTGTGTAAGTCCCACTTACATGTGCTGCCTCAGAATGCTCTCGGAAGCCTCCCACATTTTCACTTTCTCATCTGGGATAATGTTTCCTCTTCTCTCCCAATTCGCTGCATCCATGGCAGTGTCCCGGGTGTGTACCCCCCACAATGTGGAAAAATCTGGGGCTGAGATCTTCCTAAAACCATACCAGGAACATGGTTAGAACAAATATAGTTTAAAACAGATTAAAAACAATCCACTGGACTTGGTTTCCAAGGTTTAAAGACGTTTTGCTTCCCCTTCAGGAAGCTTTTTCAATTCAAATGTCTGACATTTTTTAAACTTTTACGGAATGACTATGACCTGGATGACTGAGAATCTTTATCAGCAGTTTAAAACAGAGATTTCAGAAGTAAACAAAAAAAAAGGTTCTGATCAGTCTAAGACGAGAAAAGTTATGACGGGCTGATAATTACATAGTTATCTATTTCTCCTAACACAATAAAGATGTTTACATACAGATTTCTTTGTAAAAAAAAATTGTATTCAAGCTGTACTTTAATGACTAAATAACATTTTATTTATATATTAACTAAGTAGAAGAAGTCTTTTTATTAGTTGCTTTATTTTACTTGGCTTTATAGAGGACGATGCACCCATCGTAGTACGCAATTGGTTTACTTTAAACAAACAGTGCTATCCATGGTGCTGTGACTCTGATCCAGCTATGGTTATTCATGCACACTGCTGCTGCTGGTGGGAAAGCGATTCCTTGTCTATCACTCACAGAGTTGTAATAATTTGCCTTGGTTAGTGCAGTTAATTTTAAAGATGCAGTTTTTGTGCAGATATTTAGACAGGAACATGGAAACCAGCAACCAGGGGTGGTGGGGTTGAAGAAAGCTCAGGTGTGTTGCCATGGGCGTGTCTACTTACTTAATGTAACTGCTGTGAAACAATTAGGAAATTACTTTTTTATTTATCTAATTAATAACAGCTTTAGAACCGCTGACACTCACTCTCTGGTATTGTTAATCTATGCCTCTCTACCAAAGTTTTCATCGGACACACAATTTATGGTGTAAATTATGAGTCAGATTTAGATTGAAAAGCAGGTATATGAAATAAGCAAAGTGAGAACACACGCAGGTAGATTATCGGAGTTTAGTTCATGACTGCGCCTTTAGAGACATTTACGGTTTTCTGTAGGGGTTAGACCCATCTGAGTGTCTCTTTCTTTATAATTGACCTTTATTGATCTCACATTGGAGAAATTTAACCTCTATATTTAACCAATCCCCTTGGGGAGCAGTGGGCTGCCATCGTGGGCACCCGGGGAGCAGTGTGGGGTTAAGGGTCTTGCTCAGAGACCCAGAGTGGCAGTCCGTGGGAGTGGGACTCAAACTTAGAACCTCAGGACCCCAAGCTCAATGTCCTAACCACTCGGCCACCACTTCCCAATCCCCCTCGCTGCATATGAAAATCCTCAGGATCCTGTTGCGGACGTCGTGTGTAACTTCATTTTGATTTAATTCCGATTCACTTCTAATATGATTTCCATAATCTGTGTTCTAATAATGGGGTTGTGTTATTTTTATTTACATTTTTTTCTATTATGCATTTTCTGGTTATTTGAGCATGAATAAACATGACGCCTTTAATATCTTACTATTTCTTTAGGTCTGGTTGAAATGATATGACATAAAACACACAAAATGGACCATGCAGAATGTTATTGTGACACATGCAATGAAATAACCCACTTTCTGATCCACACTGAATGGACACTAAGTTCATAATCAGCCTAGATTGCAGTTTATTGCACAGACTGAGCCTCTGGTCTTACATAGACGGCAGTGCTTATGACTATGACGCTCATAATATAAACTGTTTAAGTTAGATAATTTTTCATTAACAGTCTTCGAAGGTAATACTAGAAACCCAGAAGATATTGGCTCCATGTTTTGATATCCTTATGTTGGTTTATTATGGAATGATCCTCCTGAACCCAATCATAAAATACAAGTCATGATTTCATACATTTCTGACTTTTGGAGAGAAAGAGACAGTTTGATGAACTTAAATCTTATTTCGAATGTTTATTTTCTTCAGAGATTTCAATTAACCCCCAGATTCCACATACTCCGTCAGCGCTCCGCTCCGCCCCGCTGACGTACGTCGTGCGGAGCGCTTGTTTTTCATGGAAATCAATGAGAGCTGTTCCACATCCACCGCGTACTCCTCCGCACGTCTCCGTCCACGTACGTCTTCTCCGTCCGTCACCGACAAATTACGGAGCCGAGCTATTTTTTGCTCCGCTCCGGTCCGGCCAGGTCAAGATCCGCAATGTGATATAATATATCGGACGAAATTGTTTTTATAAGCATTTTATTAAAGAATTATGAATACTTCGATAAACATATTTAAATAATTTTAGTGCCAATTAACCTCTTACACCCTAAGGGAGTATAAATAAATTTCTGCCTGACAAAAACACACAAAAGTAAATAACTTATAGCCTCAAAGCTATTAGATTTAAGAAGAAACTTTTGGTACGTCTGTAAAGGTAAGATGGCATAGAATGGTTTTCTGGTGTCAGCACCATTGTAGCTTTGACCCTGCCTGAAATATTAGGGACAAAATACAAAATATTTTGCATTTTTTGAACCTTGCCAAAATTTTCTTTGAAATAAACATTGCAAAACACTACCAAAATATTATTTATAGCACAAAAAGTAGTACAGACTTTCAAATCTAAATGTTGTGTAAAAATATACCAAATTTGGACTCAATCAGATGAATCATATTTATTTTAGAATGGTATTAGTGAGAAATTTCTTAGGCGGAGAGGCCATTTTGGCACATTTATCCATAAATGTCACCAAAGTGTGCCAAATATGCTTTTTACATCAATACTGGGGGTTTGGTAAAATTACGAGGTCATGTAGCAGCTGGACCCACCGGTGGGTCCGTAGGGTTCAAGGGGTTAAGGCCTTGATTTAAAGAAAAAATGAATGAATTGTAATTATTTTTAATGATCCGCGGAAACCCTGGTTCATCTCGCGCATGCCCTCTACGATCTCCAAGGAACTCAGAGCGGAGCGGACGGGACCACAGCGGCGGCTGTAGGCTTTGCTTTGAGCAGGCGGTCTGGAGCGCAGCGGGGCGGAGCGGAGCGCTGACGGAGTATGTGGGATTTCAGGGTAAGCCATTAGATTTAATGTTTATTTGTTGACGTAGTTAACAGTGAAAACATTGTAGTGTGTTTACTAATCGATTATTTTGATTATTAAAGCTATTAGAGCCAGTAATTCAGTTTACTGTTAAAGTTGGAATTTTGAGATTATGATAATGATATATTTTCATAATCTATTGCTCCAGACAAACAATTCATCATTTGGACTGATAGATTTTTTAGAGACTGAATAATTTAGAGCAAATATAAGATACACAAAATAAATCCTCCTTCAGTTGGAACTTTATTAAGACTGGGACAAGTTGTTTCTTTTAACTTCTGACTGATTTCTAATACTTTAAATAGCCCAGCAGTCTTACCAGATCTGGCGTTGCTCAAGAAAACTTTTCAGAGCAGAACGTACGATGTCAGGGGGGATGAGCTGCAACGAAGAGCTTGCAACACTGGGGGAATAGGCATCCTAAAGAAATAACAGATAGTTTTCAGCACGGTCAGTGACAGAGAACACACACAACCCACTTTTGCTCACCTCAGTCTGCTCGCTCTGCTGCTGCTGCTGGTACTTCAACAAGTAATCAGTCAACTGAGGCAAATCCTCTATCTCTAAACCCAGAGTCTAAATGAGAAGACGTGACTTCTTGTTTATTTTATGGACCAGGTTGGAAGATTTCTTTAAAAAGGCTTAAGACATGCTTACATAAAGAAGAGATCCCAGCTTCACAATAGGCTGTCCCTGTTCTACCAGAGGACCTAGCTGCTTCAGGCCTTTCTCACCCATCCAGAAGTCCTGAAGAGGGAGCAGGAAAGAAGCCGATCAGTGTTTGCGTTTTCACTTATAATACTTTAAAGATTATATTTTTTTGCTAAGATAAAAACTGAATTTTTAACAAACCACTTCATTGCACAGCAGCTCACTCAATTCTTTCAGCGTGTCGTTAGACTGGCTCTGTGCCTCCCAGTCAGGAATGCTATACTGTTATGGTTCTTATTTGTTGTTTTCAGTTTTCTGTTATCAGTTGTTTTGTTTTTATTTTCCATTATCTTCAAGCATTCTTTAGTTACTCTCTGTTGCCCCCTTGGATTCCCTCTTGCCAGTTCCACCCACACCTGCTCCCCATTCAGCTCGTTAGTCCATCCTTTTGTTTGGCTCTCCTTAAATACTCCAGCTCTGCAGTCACTCAGTGCTGGTTCCTTCTTGTTGCTTTATTGTCTACTCAGCTGATCTCTCCCTGGCTCCTCAGACTCGTTTTTCCCCTGATGTCTCCATGGTTTTGGTTTGTTTAATATTTTAAGTTGGATTTCTGCCTCTGCTACCGATTGTCTGCAATTAGACCTCTCAGAACTCATCTCTGCTTCCCTTGTCTCTGCATCTGGGTCTTTGAGCAACCTCACCACCCATTGTTGACATATACAAGAACACTGCTTCCCCTTTGTTTTTTGCCATCATGTCCAGACATCCAATGTCAGGCTGAGAGGAACCATCCCTTATCCCCTGCCTGCTCTTTTTTGTTTGAAATGCTTGCTGTTTTACCTCTTGAAATGGCTTACAAGGCACCATGGGACCTGTGAGCTCCAAGAGGCCCAAATAAGGCTACTTTCTGGGTAAGCCAGAGAGGTGCTGGGAGAGTTCTGAATCTATATCCAAAGCCCTCCCTGCTAACTTCTTTGTCTCATCATCAATCACCTGCCATACGTCCTCAAAAAGCTTAGCATCTGCCACAGCAAAATGTCTGCATTAAGTAAACACACAAAAATTAGAGAAAGAACTCAGCCTGAGAAGGCAGAGCGGCATTCAAAAATCGAGAGATTTTACCAACCTCCATTGCTCTTTTAAGCGTTCATATTTTTGGATGGCTTTATGTATCGGCTCCGACCTTTTCTTCTCTGAACTTTCTTTCCTCTCATTGTAGCCTTTAGGCTTTGTATTTCAACCTTCTGCCTGAAATGAAAAGCAATCATTTTAACATTACACACTATGAAACTGTAAGTTCATGTGTGGAGAAAAAGCTCGCCTACCTCCAGATCGCAGTCTTGATTTTTTTCTCATCTTTATCCCAGTCCCAGTGTGATTGTTCAAGACATTTAGCATACCTTTGCTTATCCTCTTCTCTTTTCTTGGCCTGTAAAGCCAAGAACATGCCCAGTAAGATCTTATTTACTCTCCTAAATTATTTTGCAAAGGCCTTAACTAATACTTGGGTTGTTGAAATACTGTTAATTTTTGCCCTAAATTTTTGCAGCTCCCCCACTTGAAAAGGATGCGAATGTTTACAAAGTTATAATCAGATGGATTCCACTCGAAGACCAACAAGAGTCCTACTTTTCTCGTCTTGTTTTTCTAATATTATTGTAAAAAACAGGTGATCATATTGGTCCGGATGCAGGTAAAAATTTTGAAGCAAACCCACAAACTACAAAATCATGTAAAGAATTCTCATGTAAACAAACGCATATAAAGAATTCCCCATAGATCATCAATATTTACAAAAGAAGAAGAAATAAACTGATTAAATTCAAATATCACAACCTTAAAGAAATTACAGTAAATGTAAGTTTCTCTGCATGTATCCAACAGATAATAAACACCACCATGAAAAACTTTGCAGTGCATCATTGAATTTCTAAATTACTAAATACCTTAATTTTTAATCATAAATAATTATCCATCCTTTGTTTTATTAATCTAGTCATTTATATAACATGAATTGTAATTGTTGTATACTGATGTATTGTATTCCTTTGGAAATGATAAATGTTATATTTATACTCCAGATCATGATCCTATCATACATTAACTACTTTTAAAGCTCTTAATCCATGAGATACGTTTAAATTGCTGCTAAAAATCACACAAAAATGGCATTTGAAAAACAACCATCATATTTCATAATAAATCAATTCATCTACACGTCATTTAACTAAATGATATTTCAGATATATTTTTTAATAAACTATACGCACACATTTCATACAGAATAAGGTATCCAAAGTACCTGCCTGTCTATCTGTATATATATGTGCTATCATCATTATTAGTATTTGTTGGAGCTATTTATTCTTTATTTCTTTATCCTTTTGAATTGTGTAAATTTATAAATTTATATTTTTTGTATTATTTACCAAAAAAAGCTTTTTTTATGTCTACTTTGGTTGTCTGATGTGTTCTTTTTGCTGTTATGCTCTCCTCTCATCTAATACAGGTATGGAAGCAGACCTCTAGGGGTTATTGCATGTCTTCTGTGGTTTTTTTGGGGGTTTTTTTTCCCCTTTTCTTGCACTTTTTCTTTCTCTCTCTCTCACCTTAGTTCTTAACCTCTTTTTTTTGCCTCCCTTCCCATGTCAGTGTCTATTGTATATTTTACTCTCCTAAATAATTTTCAATAAAGTTTAATCTAACCTTATAGTAACACTCATAATGGCCTGCTTATGAAAGCAAAGCTGTTGGGCTAGCTCTGGGAGATCTATTCCCTAGAGTCATATTGGCTAAACAGGACACAGTACAGGTGCCAGTTACATAAACTGAATTTGTCAAGCTTGACCAAGACCTGGATGACAGAGAATCTTCACAGATACAGTGACAGAATGTGTCCATTGGTGCTAGGGTCCATCTGATTGGCAAGGATGCGGGAGGCAGCTGTGGAAAATCATTGCCACAGATCCCTCTATGGTCTCTGCGGAAGAGTTCTGCCTCTTCTGATGGGTCTGAAGGCCGGGGAGGTACAGCCAGAAGACCAGAAATGGTCGGCGAGCACCTGTGAGTGCTTGCACTTCCAGCAACTGAGAAGACCCTCCTAACGGTAGACCAATTGAGGGAGAGATCCATCTCGCCGCCCCATCGAAAGACAATTTGGGGTCATGGGATCAGCATCAACATTTTTTTAGATAAGAAAAAAACAACATGTCCGGGAAAAAGAGGACGTCTGGTCACCTTACCATATCGACAACTTAGGAACTGGTAACTGTAATCTCTAACAGTGATATTCAGGTTATGGAAGCGACAAACTGCTTCTTGTCCTCTCCAAATCCAACACGACTGGCAGAGACAAAGACGGTCACCTACTCAGATGACTTCACTGACTGTTTGAAATCAGGTGATAGGGTTAGGAGACGGCTTCTGCACGGTAATGATTAGTTTATTTTAATTTTAGATAAATACATTTAAATTACATTTGATTTTTACATTTCTTAATTTCAGCGTATTTGTAATTTAATGGGACATTGAATTGTGCATTTTACAATTTAATGGTATATTCTATATTTGAACTACGTTTTAGATACATTTACATATACCTATGGCAATATAGATTTATTTTTTTTATTCATATTTATGTCTTTTATGGTAGATTCTAGCCCACCTTAGACCTCAGGGATCATCTCACCATGATAATGAAAAACCATCTCGTTACCCACATTGGTGTCGAGATGGAGTGTCCAGGAGACACTAAGGTAGAGCTCTGAATTGGGAGTTCTTTCAATAATATTCAGTTTGAAGCTTATTTGGTTTATTTTTAATTATTTTTTTTTGTTTGTCACCAGAGTGTGTAGCAGTGTTATTAGATATAAATTATTACCTTCTATTTAAGGTTCAAGGTCAATACTATGATCCTTTGAATAAATATTTATGTAAGTTTACTCATCAGCAATCTTCCTTTTTTTTCCCTTTGGGATTCATATTCCGAGACACACCTGCAGTTTTGTTTGCCTGGCACCGCGCCACGCTGGTTCCAACTTGTGATCACTGATCTCTATGGCTTTGACGCAAATTATTGTCTACATTTAATTATAATACAAATGTTTAAAGCATTGGAAAACATTTAATTTTGTTTGCAACCTGCACACCATATAAAAAAAAAAAAAAAAAAATCGATTTTCATAAATTTTTGAAAAAGCTCCAGGGAGCCACAAGGGGGAGGCTAAAGAGCTGCATGTTAGTAGTTCCCATTGATTTTGCTTGTAAAGCGGGGAGAATGGCACTAGGCTTACCGCACCATGACGTCACTGCTGGAAGATGGCAGCCAGGAGGCAAAAATGGCAGCTCCAGACTCAGTGATCGCAACAAAATTATTGTTTTGAATTTTTAACTAATTAATGCTAAATTCATTAAATCACTGCAAACGTATTAGTTTTAGGTATAAATAATGACCCATTAATCATTCCTTGCTGACCGGACTTTCCTTTTAGCAGCATAAACATAATAGCTATATGGTTTTGGTTGTATGCTCACAATATAAACAACACTTTCTGTCTTAACCTCATCTGCAGCTGAGGGATCTTCCCTCAGACCTGGATGAGGGCATCAGTTAGCACTGAACAGTCTGTGGTGCAAAGTGGCACTGATGGATGTGACCTAAACATGATGTCCCAGACGTTCTCAACTGGATTCAGATCAGGAAAAACAGGCAGGCCATTCCATAAAACAGCATCATCATGCAGGAACCAATGACACGCCTCAGTCACATGAGGCTCAGTGATGTCACACATAAGAAGGAACCTAAGGCCCACATGGGTCTGAGGATTCATCAAATCCTCAGCTCTGGCTACTTCATGGAGGGCTGTCTGCCCATCCAAAGAAACGCCTCCCTACACAATTACTGACCCAAAACCAAACTGGTCATGCTGGATGATACTGCAGTGTAACTTTCTCAGACTCTCCTATATGCTCAGTGTCAGCCTCTTTTCATCCGTAAAAAGCACAGGATGCCAATGGATTATCTGCCAGTTTTGGCTAAAGCTAATCGACCTGTACTCTATTGGCCTGTAAGTAGGCCTGAAATGTGGGTGTCGGGCTCTCAAACCACCCTCAGTTTGAGCAGAAACATTCACATTATTCAATTCAGTTTATTTACCTAGTGCCAATTCACAATACATGTAATCTCAAAACACTTTACAGTTAATCAAATCATCCAGTCAGATTGATTCAAAGTTTTCTATCTAAGGAAAAAACCAGTTGATTGCATTGACTCATTGACTCTTCAGCAATCCCTCACACTAAGCATGCTTGTAGCGACAGTAGAGAGGAAAACTCCCTTTTAACAGGAAGAAACCTCCAGCAGAACCAGAGTCAATGTGAGCGGCCATCCTCCGAGGCCAACTGGGGTTCAAGGAGACAGAAGCAGAGATACAAAAGGCAACTGTCAACCAGCTCCACAGGCGGTCCCAACCTCTGACATGGGAGCTCCACGAAGAGAGCACATCCAGTTAGTCACAGTCAGATAAACAGGACTACACTGAAAAACAGGCCGATCTCCAACATCTATAAACAAAGGTGTTGATGGCAGCAGCACAGCTGATATTTCTCTCCAGGATGGAGTCACCGCCAAACAGTAACAGACCAGATGAAGCTACTATGAGAAAAACCAGAGAGAGCAGAACGTTAAAGCTTGAACTAGCAGATTCTGCAGAGTGGGAGAATAGAGATAGAATGGAGATTGATGAAATAGGGGTCCCTATGTCTTCCAGCAGTCTAAGACTATAGCAGAATAACTATAGAGATGCTATATACAATAGTGGCCAGCCACTAGAATGCCGCAGTTACTACAATTAATATTGGGCTACAAAACAAGTCCTAATTAAAAAAAAAAGTACACAACAAAAAACTTTTTTTTCTTTTATAAAACGAAATATTCTGAGTCAGCCAGGAGTTCTGAAGACTGCTGGAAAAATGGGCAAATAAAGGCTGTAAGCCATCAATATTTCTGATTCTTAGCCACTAAAAAAGAAAATGTGAGGGTTTCCTTTTTTTACCAATATTTCGTTGCTATTACTGTTTTCATTTTTTGATGACTCTTCGAGGAAGTTCAGGTATAATTATTAGCAGGTGTTATTTCTTTTATAGAGTATGACAAGAAGAAATGGCATCTAAACATCTGCTATTTTTAGTTTAAAAAGCATAATTAGGGTTCAACATAATAATAGTAATTTAATTGACTATTTATACTTCTAGAAATAGGATAAAGACAAGAACAAACAGAGGAAGAATATTAACATTCATTTTATCTTACATAGATTTCCACACAGTCTATAAGTAAATTCGTATAAACATTAATGTCTGGTAAAAATGCTTGAATCTGGCTGTTTATATATATATTTATATATATTTATATATATAAATAAACACATTTTACATTTATATTACTGTATGTTTTAGAGTCTCTATTCTCCAGTTAATGATGAATCAATTACTAAATTAGTTGATGATTATTGAAATAATCAATTAATACAATTCATTTTTTTCAGCCCCAGATGAAATACATGAAATGGGCTACACAGAGTAACTAAAGCCCAGATGTTCAACTTTTATAGTGAAGTTAATATTTTAATGAATATATTATTTTGCTTGATACAGAGAGAGAATAGTAGGTAAAATTATAAGAGTGGGGTTTAACTCTGCATAATTCTATATCTTCAAAAGAAAGAACTGTATTTACCTTCTGTCTTAGTCGTTCAAATGAAAGCATTTTCAAAGTGGAAAACAGTCCTAATTCCACATTCATCAGAGCCGGTGATACTTCAAACATTGATAAACGGCATCTAATGAGTGTAGTGCTTATAAAATTTTTATCAATGGAGCAAAATTATGCTTTTCTCTTTTAACAATGAATTCCTCTTATCAGTACAGATGCTCACATCCAGCATAAAAAAAGGCATGCATATTGCATAGCACTAATGACACCCGACCAATAGTGTCCCTACCAAAGTTCAAATCAAACCTACGCCCTTGACAATGGACATCCCCTTTACATAAAGGACCTTGTAGCAGCCCTGCTGCTGTAACCCTCCATGTCTCCGGGGACTTATTCCGTGCTCTGGATACTGAAAATGTTTCTACCACCTGATTATCTGCAAGCTGGAAAAAAAAAACGCTTCTTGAGGCTGACTAAAAGTTCAACCAAAAATGACGACAACAGAGAAATGATCTGCAGAGTCTGCTTTATTGGGGTTTTCTGGGTAGCTGCCTCTCGTTTCCACCTGCTGGTGAAACTGATTCACAACGAGTGTTAATATCTGACTGGTGACAATCGATTCCTTAAAGATGTGACTGATTTGGTGATAAATTGTTTTGTTCAGGTGTTCACTTTATGTATTCATTCTTTCAAGAGGTGACATAGTGTATAAAATCTTAAAGAACTCATCTAAATTGAACAATAAACAACCACATGTAGAGTGATGATGTTTTATTTCAGCTCAATATCTGAGGTACATATTTACTGATTTCACATAAACATAACAGGCTACACATAGTTTTCTACATGTTAGCACAACACAGAACATTTACAGCAACTCAGACATGCACAATGACAGCAGCGACAGAAGCTGGCTCTGCTAGCTCACAGCGCCGCCCTCACAAGAACTGACCAATCACAGAGCTGGGTTTTTACGGAATTAGTCGTTAGGAAAACAGAGGAGGAGATTAAAAGGGCTAAGACCTAAAATATTAAGACAAAATTTTGACACTGAGCACAATAATTAAATTATATTTTCAGTATTGACAAGAAATATGAACAATTTTTTTAAATAGCATTTCTATATAGTTTAGTTTCATATATTTGCACACTTCATGAAAAAGTAGATTTGATCCTATTGGAGCGGACGCGTTCTCTTTCACCTTTTTCTCTTCTGGTATAATACTTTCCAGTGTTACGGTGCAGGACGGGGGGATGGGGACACAGGGGGGTTTAACAGTGACTTAAAGCGGGGGCTAGTTTGACTGGGGTCACATGCAGACTGATATGTACATTTGTAAACTTTCTCATCTCCTCCTCCGCGTACTAAACCCAATTCATTTTTCTGTTATGTTTCTCCAGCCTAAAACCCCTTTTCTCACCCCCTTTTCTCTCTGCATCCCTCCCTCCCTCCCTCCCTCCGCTCCTTTATGTTCCTCTACTTTAAGTCTCCAGCGTCTCCCTGGATGGTCTTTTTGATGCGGAGCAGCATGGTGGTCAGCCACTGGTCCAGACGGGACACCGAGTCAAACTCCTTGACGGCCTCTGTGAACGCCTCGCTGTTCTGTTCCTCATGGGCCTCCAGGAGTTTCTGTTGAAGCAGATTTCAAAGCTTACATTTCATACAGTCACGGAAAGAAACAACCGGTTATCCATCCGCAGCAGTATGTCGCAGTGAGCTTGTCGCAGATATTTCTGCGACTCTGAACTTGCCTTCACGGTCTAAGTATTCCCAGAAGCCTGGATCCCCCTGTTTCCTGTTTGGGTTGGAATCTCTGATCCTGCGGAGAACTCCTGTATCCCTAAACTGTTCCTGCCTGATCTGTTCTCCCCTGTCCTGGATCGTCTTCCTGCATGTTCTCCGTGGCTGCAGCGTCAGGGACACTCTGGGCGGCTCAGGGCCGCATCTCGTTGGCAGTGCATCGGCTGATCCTGCCTATGATTGGGGTTGGACTGAAACATTTAACTAGGTAAGTGACTCACGCTGATAATCATCTACTGTCAGATGATCGTGGTCACTTACTTGTGTCTCTCCCTCCAGAGAGTCATTTTGAACTTTCCTACTGTCTGTCTCACATTGAATACTGGGTCCAGCTGTCCCTGTTTTATGATATATACAGTTATAATCTTTATTCTGTATGTGGCAAAGATTTGGGAATGGAATGAGACCAGCGTCCTTCAGCTAAAAACAAATTGTGATATTTTGATTAGGCTGGAGCCATGGATGTTTCCTCATCTGCAAACATGTATGATGTGATGATGTGACACACTGGAGTTGTATAGAATGCTTCTCCAACAGTTAATCGGGGCCACTTCCCGAGAAGTGAGCCCAGTTGGTAAGCAGCTGCCTTCTGTAACCCTAAGCAACTTTTCTGATCTGGGTAAGATTAGAATTTCTATCACAATCTTTTGTCATGTCTCCTGGTTATTTAATACATGTACTACGTTATAAAGTGTTATTTCTAGAGTTTGTCCTGAGTGATCTCTTTTCAGGAAAACAAATTGGAGAGAGAAAGATTCAAGGTGTAGACACAGAGCTTTCAATTTAACAGCTCTCATAGCTTAGAATCAGTAGTTTCTAAGTGCGTAGGGGGCGGTGCATCCAATGGGAGACGCCATGTTGTGTCGCTATTTTTAATTAAGCATGCCAAAAGAGGTCCCCTTTGGGATGAATTGTGTCTAACCCGTGATTTTTTTTTGTTTTTTGTCAGTGTGACGAAGATGCAGCAAACCAGTGGAACTTATGTTTGAAGGACAGCGTTTCCCCCACCATTAGTTTGCTGTTACACCTGCTGGAAACTCCAGCGAGCCTTTAACTTTTTATTTATAAATTTTTTATTTATTTTTATTTATTTAATCAGGACAGAGCACATTAATGAGCAATCTTATACTTCTGTACAGATTGTAAATGAGCCAGATTATAGCATAGTTGCTAATTTACATATGTCGTCCTGATTCAGACTTGCTTATTTAAGGTTAGTGCGGATGGATGGTTGGTGCTAACAGTTAGTGTTTAGGGGCCAGTTTGGGATTGGGCCATGGAGTAACTCCCTGAGGATGTACACCTGGCATCTTGACTGTTCTTTTTTGATAACAAAGACCAACTTTACACCTTTAACCAGAGATCTGTGATGTTAAATCAGCCACTTAGGCATTGAACCACAGGGATCACTTAGTTTGTTTCAAATGACTCTATGGGGAATTAATTGAACCAAAAATTAGTGATTGAAAAAAGAAACTCACCTTTAGCAGTTTGAGCTCTCTGGAGTCTGAGAAAGCAGGAAACATCTCCTCATACTTCTCTATGGCCAACTGCAGATCAAAAGTGACAGGTCAACTCATCTGCTGATGTGAAAAATGAAGCAGTACACTGCAAAAAAAGTCAACTGAATATCAATCATTTCATATCATTTTCTAGAAATAAGTGTGTTTGCACTTGATTTGAGTAGGTAAGTAAGATGATCTGCCAGTGGGAGAAGTTTCTTTCAAGTAAAATAAGAAAAACAATCTGCATTATCTCATTTATTGGGCACTCAATAAGTTTACCTTATTTCAAATTGACCTACCTGCTCAAATGAAAGACAAACACATTTATTTCCGGAATTTTGGACTCAAGTTTCGACCAATTTTTGAGGTGTAGAACAATCGATGGCCACATGCCGGGTAATGGGATGTTTGTTACCTTTGCATTTAACTCATCCACAATGAAGTGGCACAAGGAAGCTTTGAAGAAATACTCTTTAGCGTTGTACTTCAGCAGAGGATTGTCCATAGTGCTCATGGCAACCTAAAACACACAAACATTATATTACATATACTTTTATGCAATCATGCCTGTAATCTACGTATATTAAAGTCTATAATTGGGGGTTTGGTCCTTGAAGGAGCTTTCTACTTTGCAGGAAAAGATAAAGAATCATCCCACTCAGACTCCTCTGGCAGAGCAGGAACCAACACATCTGAACTGAAACAGCTTCCCAGAGCTGCTGTTTACCAAATGCTGGTACCTGTTCGTAGATCTCGATGGCTTTCTGATACTGTTCCAGCTGAGCGCTGTAGTGTCCGACCTTCAGGAGACATTTGTTGGCTGAGCTGAAAGAAAGAAAACCATTTGGTTCATAGGCGGATTACTAAGGTTCAACAACAGAGGGAAAATTACACAGAACATCTCCAAATAGGGGCTGCTGAGTGGAGCAGTGGGAGAGGAAAGCTTTTGAGCAACACTTTTAAGGCAATAATCAGTGAAATTAGGTGTTTTCTCTAAAGTTCAGGCAATATATTTAGTTAGACTTTAGTAGTACTTTAAAGTACTTTATTTGGCTGGGATAGTTTGTTTCTTTCGAGTTATTTTTCAAAATAAAAAGTCAAAATCTATATTTCGTTATTATAATTTAGTAATTTTATTATAACTTTTTCAGTTTTGTGTTATTTGAATTGCTAGCATGAAATGATGTAAATCTTCAAGCGCCACTGTATGTCTGTCCCATGTACTTGAGCTGGCAGGTTTCTGGATACCTATTCCTACCTTTCTGATGACCAATGCCTTCCTTTCGCACAATGCAATGGCGTCATTGGATGAGTTCTTACCTTCTAGCTTTACAGAAAACATAAGAAAATAGGTCTAGTTCGGAGCCTTGCATCTCTTCTCCAACTGCCTATATATATTACTGAGGAGGACAGAGCGTGTTCTTACTACCGGTTATGTGTTGCTGCAAGCAGGGGTGGATTTAGCAAATTTATTTGTTCTAGGTTGTGTCCCTCTCTTCTTGTCCCTTTTCTTCTTGTTTTCCTCTCTATGTTTTGTACTCAGCTGACTTTTCATGCTGTCTCAAAAGGAATGAAAGATTTTTTCCAAGCACTAAGCTCACTTAGCTGATTGCTCCTTCCTGTGTTTCCAAAAAGGCAAAAGTAAATAACCCAGTCCTTCTTTTCACTGTAGACAAGCCATGATCTGCTTCTCTGTTCTCCATTTTTCATTTGGATGAAATAATAGCTGCATGAATCATGACAGCAGACAAGATAGAGGAAGCAGGAGGCGGGGTTACCAATCTACTCACTCTGGAGAGCAGAGTTCGCTCTTTTAGATGTTGTCTCCAAAGTCTCCACTAGCAGAAAAAAAGTCACTAGATTTGGCACTAGGTGCTGTTGGGATCCAGAGGTTTGCCCTCCAGAGGGCGACGCGGATCCCTTCCTGTGGGCTTCTGTTACTGTTGGGATCCAGGGGTTTGCCCTCCAGAGGGCGATGTGGATCCCTTGTTGTGGGCTTCTGTTTATCTGTTGGGATCCAGAGGCTTGCCCACCAGAGGGCGCCGTGGATCCTTTCCTGGGAGCTGGTGCTCAGCGCTCTCAGCTGATCCCCATCAGCTCATTATTAAGCTCTCCCTATTTAAGCTGAAGGAGAGCTTCCCTCTGAGCCGGATTGTTGTTCCCTGTTGTGGTTAGCAAGCCTGAGCCACCCTGCCTGCCTGAACCTGTAAACCTGTAAGCCTGTTCTGACTCCGTGAACCTGTACCTGAACCTAACCTGCTTTGTCTCCTCCGCTCCCCAGGAGGAACCCTGTCTGGTTTTTCCAATAAACAATTGGACTTTTAACCTGCCTCTCTGTGTCTGTGAGTTCTGCGTTTGGGCTAGAAATCCTGCCTGACCATGACAGAACAATCTGGCCAACTGACCAGCCCAGCAGACTCATTTGACGCACTCCTGGGGGAGTTTGATGACCGACGGACTAATTCAACGGAACCACCCTGGACGGTTTCGTTCCATCGATGGCTGGAACTTCTGGACCGTCTAGAGACCCCTTGAGCCCTCTTCGTTCCTGTACGTGGAGCCGCAACGGGCGGTCTCCTCTATTCCTGAAGTGGAGCCACACCCCAGGCTCACACCGACTCCGGTCTTACCGTTGCGGTGCGGTGGGTGCGGCGCCGCAGTGATTCCAAGTCATTAAAAAGACGTAAACCTGCTGAGCTGTCCGGCTGCGGTTACTGAGACACTCCGGCGCTGCAGAAAATTCCGCAAGAAAGCTATCCTTGCGGCGTGCCGGAGCCCTCCGCAACAAGCTCTCGCAAATATCCTTATTTGGGCCGTGTTATCGCGTGAAGTTACGTGAACCCAAGTGAACTTCTGTTAAATCTCCGGACCCGTTGCCGGAGCCGCAGAGCCGCACCGCACCGTAGTCAAAAGGGCGGTGTGAGAGGGGGTGTGCGGAGGTCTCCGTCGGCTCGGTAACCGCACCGGAGCCAGTGTGAGCAAGGGGACAGTCGGTGGTCTCCTCTGTTCCTGAAGTGGAGCCACAGTCGGTGGTCTCCTCTGTTCCTGAAGTGGAGCCACAGTCGGTGGCCTCCTCTGTTCCTGAAGCGGAACCGCAGTCGGCGGGTTCCTCTGCTCCTGATGTGGAGCCGCAATCGGCGGTTTCCTGTGTTCCTGTTTTGGAGCCGCAATCGGCGGTTTCCTGTGTTCCTGTTTTGGAGCCGCAATCGGCGGTTTCCTGTGTTCCTGTTTTGGAGCCGCAATCGGCGGTTTCCTGTGTTCCTGATTCGGAGCCGCAATCGGCGGTTTCCTGTGTTCCTGATTCGGAGCCGCAATCGGCGGTTTCCTGTGTTCCTGGTTCGGAGCCGCAATCGGCGTTTTCCTGTGTTCCTGATTCGGAGCAGTAGTGGGCGGCCCTGTCTGAGCCTGTTGCAGACCAGCAGATGCTGAGACGGCGTTCTCCTCGGAGCTTCCTGCAGAAGCGGAGACGGCGTTCTTCTCGGAGCTTCCTGCAGAAGCAGACACGGCGTTCTCCTCGGAGCTTCCTGCAGAAGCAGAGACGGCGTCTTCCTCGGTGCTTCCTGATGAAGCAGAGACGGCGTCCTCCTCGGTGCTTACTGCTGAAGCGGAGGTGGCGTCCTCCTACACGGTCCCCGGAGTGTCTGCCTCTGCTCCGGTCCCGCAGCCGGCCTCCGGAGCGTCGGCCTCAGCTCCGGTTCCACGGCCGGTCACCTGATACTCTGCCCTGCTGCCGGTCCCACGGCCGGCCACCTGAGACTCTGCCTTGCCTCCGGCCCCACGGCCGGCCACCTGAGACTTTCCCCGTCCTCGCCCACCCTGGGTGGGTTGTTTTGATTTCTGGACCCTGTTCTGTTTCTGTACCTGGCCCTCCTTGCCTGCTTCCCCCTCCGCCCGCCCTGGGTGGGTTGTTTTTGTTTTTGGGTTTTTTGTTTTTGGGCGTCTGGTATCCGCCCTTAAGGGGGGGGTACTGTTGGGATCATGAGGTTTGCCCTCCAGAGGGCGACGTGGATCCCTTTCTGTGGGCTTCTGTTACTGTTGGGATCCAGGGTTTTGCCCTCCAGAGGGCAATGTGGATCCTTTGTTGTGGGCTTCTGTTGGGATCCAGAGGCTTGCCCACCAGAGTGCGCCGTGGATCCTTTCCTGGGAGCTGGTGCTCAGCGCTCTCAGCTGATCCCCATCATCTCATTATTAAGCTCTCCCTATTTAAGCTGAAGGAGAGCTTCCCTCTGAGCCGGATTGTTGTTCCCTGTTGTGGTTAGCAAGCCTGAGCCACCCTGCCTGCCTGAACCTGTAAACCTGTAAGCCTGTTCTGACTCCGTGAACCTGTACCTGAACCTAACCTGCTTTGTCTCCTCCGCTCCCCAGGAGGAACCCTGTCTGGTTTTTCCAATAAACAATTGGACTTTTAACCTGCCTCTCTGTGTCTGTGAGTTCTGCGTTTGGGCTAGAAATCCTGCCTGACCATGACAGGTGCTTTGTTGAAATAAAAGTGCTAGAGGGGTTTCTGAAAAGTCGCTAAATATAGAGACAAAAGCGCTAAGTTGGTAACACTGCTCTTTGTATAGCAAAAAAGAAACCTATATCAGCCCTGAATATTTATTTTATTATTTTTCTTGAAAATTAAACATGGAGAAGCTAGAGGCTCAAAATCATAAATAAAAAGGTCTAATTTAACTGTATAGGTAATATTGGTCAATATTTCTGAAGATGCATGCAGAATATAAGAAAACAATATGAGCCAGTAACTGTTGTTATACAGTACCAGTTGAATTTTAAAATTACTTTCATCCCACTCTTTGTTACATCCAAGAATGATCCAACCATTTTTTTCCACTGTTTATTGATCTATGAGTCAAATCAATTAATGTCTCTAGATGTTTATATACAACGGACTGCACATATTGCAGTATTTGCCTTCAAACAACGTGCCAGAATGCTCAAGAAGGCTTCAATGAAAAGCTTTTTAATTCTCAGTTAAATTACCCTAGATCCCCCTACATTGGAACTTTTTTTTAAATTATGAACTAAATCAGTAAATGGGTTATATAGTGAAGCTTAAAGTATAATGTTGTCGCCTCAAATGATCTTAAAACGAACTGTTATAGAACAATAGCAACAGAAAAGAGAACTTTTAACTTAATACTTTGAGCTCTCTGAGCTCGAAGATGCTGCTGCTGCAGTGCATGCTGGGACAGCTGTTAAAGGGGTCATAGAATGATTCTATAGGGTGCTGGTCCTTAAGGTCTCTGAATAGGGTGTGTAACATTGGTTGGGCTGTAAATGGTATATTTGCTGTTCTATGAGCTCTAATGTAAGCCTGGTTAAAAGCCCTAGAATGAAACGACAGGTTTTCTTCCTTTTATGGTATGATCATGAATATTTAGATGAGCTGTGCGCTGATTGGTTGGTTTACAACGAGCAAATCTGCTGAGCAAAGACGCATCATAGCAACAAGCACTCACTCACTGAAACATCAAATTATTGATATGGTAGGGTGACCAGACATGTCCTACTTTTCATACCTAAACAAATGTCCGGGGGAATTTGAAAATTGTCCGGGATTTTGGTGGACTACAGTGCAGCAGAACCGAGCCGTGAGCCACAGGGCTGGTCCAGGAACCCCGGCGGACCGTGACGGTAGCCTGGACACAGCTGGCCCTGCGCTGCCCTCTGCCTGCCTTACTAGCCCCCCTCCTCCTCCCATTCAACAAGTGTACCAACTTCATCTGAATTTGCCTGTTTTATGGTGGAAGTTTAGAATTGTGAGATTTGCAGAGAAAGGAGGTGTCGCTGGAGTTTGAACTTCTCTGTACGTCCATTTCACCCACTGAACTGGCGTTATTCATCTATGACAATGGAAACTCGGTTTTGCATTCTATGACCCCTTTAAGGGCTGGTTATCCTCTCGCAGCAGTGTGTCGCAGTGAGCTTGTCAATGATATTTTTGATTTATGTTCAATTTTGAAGCGTGGTCTGCGCTATGTTATTCCACACCACAACGCAAGAGGGACAATCAGGAACTAGCTGTGGGTCTAGATACGGCTGAGGCGGTGAGAAAGTGGAGGCAATTGTGCAACAACGGAGGGACATGAGGGCAAAAAAGAGCGGGTATCTGGGTGGAAAAAGGGTCCCAGCATTCTCGCCCACCTCGCTGTTCTAGCTGGTCCATCTTCACGAGTTGTTTTCCACAATGGTGGTCATACAAACAAGACAAGCCATAAGGCACCAAACAGGAAATACTCATAGTGTAGAGCGGATGTAGATTTGACCAATCAGAGGCCTCCTGTCTGCGTTCACCTACAATTTTGGAGAGGTGCAGCAGAGTGTCTGCGAGGGGGGGTCATATCTGCGTTAACTGTGACACACACGCAGATGACCTTGTTTCTGAGTATAAATCAGCCTTTAGTCTGGACAAGTCTGCTTTAATGCATGCTGGGTAAAGAGGGAGGGGTGAGAACAACATCCGGGGACTTTGTCCGTTCTCGGTCTGCTGTTCTTGTGAATTGGAACAGTACCTGGGCTGAGGATGATGACGTTTCACAAGCACATGAGAATGCACAAGTAAGATCCCACTATACTAATCTAAGCGTCAATCAAAACAGAGTGGGATAATTGTGTGTCTTTCACATTTGTTCCAACATGTTTACCTGTTGGACTCCTCCCCCTTGTAGTAATCTGCTGCTTGCTCATAGTGAGCGATGGCCTGAAAAAACAAACACAAACACGTCCAGTCAGGACCAGTCAAGCCACGATTATAGGAGGAGAAGAAAATCCCTTTACCTTGTCAATATCCACCAACTCTGACTCATAAACCTCTGCTATGGTGATGTGATGTTTGGCTGCGATGGTGAACCGACCCTGCAACAAACACCAACATTAACCCACAGTGTCCCTCACAGAGGAGCGTAAAGGAGGAGAAAGAGAGGATTACCATGTCAGTGTAGATGTCAATGGCCTGGTTTAGACAGTTGATGGCCTCTGGAAAGAGATGGAGAGAAAAGAAGACTCTCAGGAGGTCTATTAAGCCCAATTAACAGTCTTTAATCAGAATTAGCTTCCTTCTGTGACTAACACGCTAACCTAGAGTGGAGCTCCTGGAACAAACCCAGATATCAGGATCTTTTTTAATGCACTGAGGGGAAGCAGTAGTGAACTTTCAGTCTTCTTAAGAGGGATAAATCCTGTTTAATTAAACAACTAAATGGATGCATGGAGGTCAAGTCGGCTATGAGAACTTATTATCAAGTTCTGGGTCATTTCTAACCCTTCGCTGCAAAAACTGAAATCTAAATAAGTCATGTTTTCTTAAAATAAATGCATTTTTTTAAATGAGGAGGAAAGTGAGACACTTTGCCAATGGAATGAGACAATTTATATTTAGAATAAGAAAAAAACCAATTGTATCTTCTTTTAAGTGCATATAAAAATATATCAGATATACTCATTCCACTGGCAAATCTTTTTTTTAACCTACTTAAATTAGAATGTTTTAACTATTTCTAGATAATTTTTGCAGTGTGTGCATCCCCTCTACAGTCTACACTGCAAAAAATTAATCTAAATAAGTCAATTTTTCTTAAAATAAGGGAATTTAGGATTTAGGTTAGACACCTTGCCAATGGAATGAGACAATTGATATTTAAAATAAGAAAAAAACGTGCATATTATCTAAATATCTTATTTTAAGAGTAAATATGCTAATTTCATTGGCAAATCATATTAAAGGTAAATACACTTAATTTAAGAATTTTCTACTTTTAGTCTGCATCCTGCTCAGTCCTGGTCCTGGTTATACAAGTCTTAAAAGCTACGATTTGGACAAAAAGCCAAAAACAAAGTGTGCAACAACACCATTGAACTTCGTAAGACTTATTTTTATTTTTTTAGAATGTTTATGATTTAAAGGAGTTTTAATAACTCCAATACAATAGAAAGAACCCAACTAAGAACAAACCCCAAAATAATGACACATTAACAGATATAATCATCATCATCATCATCATCATCCCTGTAAAATTTCAAATCCTCCAAAATGTTCAAGGATGTTGTTTTTTTTGACATGTCCTGTTTGCCAATATAGCCCAATTGTAAATATTCAAGTACTTTTACACTAGAAAAAAGATCTAGAAATAAGTAAAAAAAAAAGTAAATTAAGTGTATTTACCCTTAATTAAAGTAGGTAAATTAGATAGTTTGCCAATAGAATGAGTATTTTTACTGCTAAGATAAGATATTTAGATAATATGCACTTGAAATAAAACAAATTTTCTCATCTTAAGTGTAAACTGTCTTGTTCCTCTGATAAGATGTCTCTTTTACCTCCTCAATCCAAGAACAAATTCACTTATTTTAAGAAAAGGTGACTTATCTAGTTTCGATTTTTTTTCCAGTGTAAGGTAGGTATCTTTTATGGCAGTTTGCAAAAACCTTTTACAAAACCTTGATTTTTTGTTTTTTCCCAAGTTCAGAAAATATCAAGGATTTCAGGCACCCTGATAAACCTGATCAGGTCATGTATTTGTCTCTAACCACATTATGAAGTTTCTAGGTAAACAATAACGACAAAAGATATTCGTCTCTGATTTGTGAGATTCTCTGGATTGAAGGTTTTATGGCATCGGCTCACCCTGCGGGTCGGCCTTCTTGTAGGCGTTTCCTGCATCGACAAAGCTGGTGGCGGAGTCCAGTTTGTTCTGAAGCTGCATGTGGAGCCGGGCGGCCTGACAGAAGGCATTCCCTGCAGCTGAACGCACACAGCCAGAGGAGCACAGCGTAAAGGAGCAGAAGCAGATAGATAGTAGACATTTTACACAATCATTAATATGATGTCATAGGTCATTTAAGAAGGGGGATAATTTTTTCAAGATTTTTTTAAGAAGGTGGATGCCATCCCCCCTCAACTCGAGTACTAAGTGCATTTTGTTCCATTAATGACAGAAACAAAGAACAGGTTTTGGAAACTAAACTTAAAAAAAGTTTGCAAATTGAAATTTGAGAAGAAACATTTTCAGTTAAAAAAAGGCTTAAGAGTAATTTAGCTGTTTTCTCTGATGATGTATTTTTTATTTTTTAATTACTTTTTTCTAGTTGATTTTTTCTTTCAAATTCCCTTTTCATGTATTATTTTTCAAGTTTTATTTTTTTTATAAACATTCCTTACAGATTTTATATTTTAAAATTGTATTTTGAAATTAAAATATATCTAAATGTGATTAATAAAAACAAAAAAAACAACTTGAGCTTAACAAATTGCTTTCTTCACAAATTGTGTTTTCCAGATCAGATTTTCTTCACTTCCTGGACAGGCTTTCCTTTGGAGCATTTCTATTGGTCTGCTGGACGTTGGCATTTTTATTGGTCAAGAGTCTTTTTAGAAGGCTGAATCGAATTGGATCTGTGAGACACAGTCGTAAAAGCATGTAAAAATAAACCTTAAAAAGAGAAATTTGACCCAAAAACTATTGAAAACATAAAATCTGTAAAAAAAATATTTTTGTAAAATTTTGAAAAAAGAATAATCAGAAACATCAGAGAAAACAACTTTTAAAACTTTTTGTTCTGTTAATAATGGAACAAACTTCACTCCATATTTAAATGGGGAAGGAAGCCTGCTTCAGTCTGCATGTATAGGAACCTGTGTAAGAAATGACATTTACCACTCCAGTTCTTCGCCATCTTAAACATGTTGGCGGCTCTCGCGTACATTTCACATGCATCCTCCACCTTATGGTTCCCCCTGTAGCATACAGGAAAGAAAAACAACCAAACAAATTCAATTCAATTTAGTTTAGTTTATTTCTATAGGGCCAGTTCAAAACACATGTCACCTTAAGGCACTTTACAGTTCAGCATATCATACAGTCAATGTATGGTTACTGCATTTAACATTTATGTTGCAGCACTTAACATTTATATCATATTTTAAATGTGGTTTAAAATGGAGAAAAATGTCCCCCATGTTTCCACTGATCCACAATATCGTCACAGTACTCCACTGAAAAGAAACAAACTATAGCTCAGCCTGCAGGACGCATTTCAGAGGACAGATCAGGATGCATAACTCCTCCAGCAAAAACACAAAGCCAATAAATTTTGTTTCCTAAGGTGACATTTTTAGCCTCTTAGTTATCAGGCTCCTCTCCTGTGGAACCAACTACCAGTTTTAGTCTGTGAGGCAGACACCCTGTCTACTTTTAAGGCTAGGCTTAAAACTTTCCTTTTTGATAAAGCTTATAGTTAGAGTGGCTCAGGTTATCCTGAGCTATCTCTATAGTTATGCTGCTATAGGCTTAGACTGCTGGAGGACATAGGGACCCCTTTTTCATCATTCTGCTTCATTCTATCTCTATTCTCCCACTCTGCAGAATCTATTAGTTTAATCTCTAATGTTCTGCTCTCTCTGCTTTTTCTCATAGTAGCTTCATCTGGTCTGTTCCTGTTTGGCTGTGACTTCATCCTGGAGAAAAACATCAACAGTGCTGCTGCCATCAACACCTTTGTTTGTAGATGCTGGAGATTGGCCTGTTTTTCAGTGTAGTCCTGTTTCTCTGACTGTGACTAACTGGATGTGCTCTCTTCATCCTCTGACATGGTAACCGGCTCGGAACTCGTCTGCCTGGCTGTGTGTTTCCTGGACAGGGCCGCCTTTGGAGCTGGTGGACACTTGTCTTTTGTGTCTATTCTTATTTTTCTATGTCTGCTTCTGTCGTTCAACAACTGACTTACCCTTAAAAAGGACAGATCAGCACAAAAATGATATAAAATCTGCCTTCTTATTTGTCCCCAAAGTCTAATCCTATAGGACACCTTTGGACCGAGCTGAACAGAACATGGATCCAGAACTGATAGATCTAGTCAGATTTTAGGAAAGGAAATAGTGGGCGATCTCCCTTCACAGAGAAGCTTTCTTTGAATGTTTCTGTTTGAGATGAAGCTGCTATAGTAACAGAAAAGCTGAAAATTTTTGTGTTGCCAACGCCATTCTAAGCCACGTCTGAGCCACATCTGTGATGGAGCCACGGTTCCATTACAGATCCACTAATTTGGCCTCTTAACTCCGAACAGGAGCTCATTAAATAAACATGTTTTGTGCTTAGATGTGAAAGTACAGATGTGACCCAGTTAACATCTTTCTAGGACACAGATTCATTAGAATGTTTTTTTTTTTTTTTTTTTTTTTGGTGTAGAAATTAGTTCCGTGTTGATTTGTTTTAAAAAAGCATCAATAGCTATAAAAAGCTGCATTTTTAACAATACAATTTTCTTTAATCTGACAGTAAGGATCCAGACTACAGAATCAGGAAATTGTCTTTATACCAAACTGAAAGATTGTTGTTCTCTACTCGAAAAAAACGTAAGATTTTAAAATGGAAAAATATTCAATTTTTTTGTACTTTTTTTAATTCAAAGTTCAATGTATAACATGGATGCATGAACACCTCATTTAAAATTGTATTTTGAAATAAAAATATATCTAAATGTGATTAATAAAAACAAAAAAACAGCTTGAGCTTAACAAATTGCTTTCTTCACAAATTGCGTTTTCCAGATCAGATTCTCTTCACTTCCTGAACAGGCGTCACTCCTTTCTGGAAGTTGGCAACAACATTTTTATTGGTTAAGAGTCTTTTTTACTGGGCTATATGTATATTATATAACCCCTGATCTAACTAATTAATTTCAATTATCTTCTTATATAATTTATTTGTATTTTATGTAATACACAAACACAAAGTTTGCCATGTCGAGTTGCAGGTATTTTCGAGGTATGACGCTGTAGTTCCAAATGAAGAAAATATTTTGCTTGAAGCTCTTTGCAAAGAATCTAAAGTCATGGATTTAGATGAGAACTTAGCCATTCTAACACGTTTTAAATCCAGACCCTGCTGCTGTATCTCTGGCTCTATATCAGGGTTATTGTCCTGCTATGAGGTGAACCTATACTCTTTTGACCAGTTGTCCTCAGAATGACCCTGCCACCACTATGCTTCACTGTGTGAATGGTTGTACAAGATGATGTAGTAAAAAAGAGAAATGTATAACAGAAAATCCAAACAAACTAAATCCAATCTTTTTTTTCTTTTTTGTGTTCCACAATGTTACATATAAAAAAAAAAACGGAGCTAGAAAAAATCTGTTAAAATTTGTGTGTGTTTTTTTTTTTTTGTCTATTTGTAAAAAGTAAAGAACAGAATATTGGGAAATAAAGGATTTACTGGGAAATAACCATCAGAAAGACCGCAGTTGGTCGATCAATAATCCATATATGTTGGTGCCTACTTTATGTTAAAGCGTTTTTCTTTCTGCTAACATCCGCCCCTCCCGTCCACAAACACAAACAAAAAGAGCCTTCTTCCTCCTCCGCAGCATCACGGCCCCTCCGCGGCTCCCTGCATCCTCCCTGCATGGCGGCCCGCTGTCATCCGCAAAGGAACAGCAGGCCCCGAACACCACCGCAGCCACCAAACCATTTCAATACATCTGCTGCGAAGGAATGACTGAAATAAAACCAGGGCCCCTCAGTGCAGAAAGCCCCCTCCTCCCCCTTCATCGGTAAAAATAAGCGACACTTAAGCATCCGTTACCCGAACATCCCTCCCAGGAACGATCCCGACGCTTTGACCTTCTTGTCGGCCTCCGCCATCAGCTGCATGGCCTCCTTCTCTTTGCCGGTGTTGTCCATGGTTCTGAAACGGCCCGATGTTCCGCAGTGGGCAGAGAAGATGGGGATGAAGCGTCTGTGGTGGAGCTGTCAGTGGTGCTGATGCTGAAGGAGGCTGTCGTTCTTCTTCAGCGCAGAGACGTGACGAGGTTCCGTGCGCACGAGGGCACCATCTACAGGCAGACGCAGCAACTGCAGCAGGCAGAAAAAGGACTTCTGTCCATATTTTTGCAAAACCATCCACTTCCTTAAACCATTTTTACCATTTTAAAATTAAAATAGTAAACAGCAATGTTTTTTTAAATCAAATTTAAGAGAATATAGAATTGTATTTATTGATTAAGTATCAATGCATGTTCCTCCTGTGCTCAAGAACACAATTTTATATAAATTATTTTACATTAGCACACATTAGTGCAATATGTTACACAAGTATAAACCAAAAAAAGATGTAGTGAAAATCATGAAAGGTAAAGTCCGGTCAGAAAGGAATAATCAACGGATCACTATTTATAACTTAAACTAATACATTGGTCGTGATTTAATAAATTTAATGTTAATCGGTAAAAAAATTATAATAATTTTCGTCGTGATCACTGAGTCTGGGAGCGGACATTTTTGCCCAAATATAGTAACACCTCACTCCTGACATCTTCCAGCAGTGACATCAGGGTGGATGGCCCACATGGATCCTCAGACCCATGTGGGCCTTGGGTTCCTTCTTATGTGACTGAGGCGTGTCATGGTTTCTGCATGATGATGCCGTTTTATGGAATGGGCTGCCTCTTTTTCCTGACCTGAATCCAGTGGAGAACGTCTGGGACATCATGTTTAGGTCACATCCATCAGTGCCACTTGGCACCACAGACTGTTCAGTGCTAACTGATGCCTTAATCCAGGTCTGAGAGAAGATCCCTCAGGAGAATATCTGCTGTCTCATTAGGAGCATGATCGGGTTACACAGGCACACAGAAACCACACACACTAATTCAAACTTTAGGAATATTCACTGAGGTGGAATCCCCCTCTCGTGTTCTCTTACACTTTCATATTGAGTATGAACTCAAATCCAGATCTCCATTTGGATTTATGTTTTTTCCTCTCAATCAAAGAATAATAGTTTTTCAAATGTGAATATCTATTTGAGTTCTAGAATGTGTTAGTTTAGCTCCAATTTACAACACATCTCAAGTGTTATAAAATAGTGCTAGATTAATAAATAAAGTAAACAATCAAAGCCTTGTGATGACCTTGTGAATTGTAAATTGTCACTATAGAAATAAACTAAATGAAAGGCAATGTCTGCTTTAATTTGTTCAATTTCATGGAATTGTTATTTATCATTACTACTTTTGTCAAATTCAAGCAATTTCTGTGATTATTGTGGGTTTTTCTCACTTTACCAACAATTTTGTCCATGTATGTATGAGTCCACCATCATATACGGAAAATGCAAAAAGAAAGAAAAAAAATAAATCACTCCTTTTTTATGAAACATTTTATTCTTTTTTTATTTGCTTCCATGTAGCATTCATTTAAACTAAGAACCAGTTTCTCCAGAGGTGCAGGAACAAAGGAAAAGGAAGCATACTCAGTGTAACTGCTAAAGCTGAAGAGGGTTTCACAATTTAACCAGAGGGTCAATGTGACATATTATCAGGAACTCTTCAACTGTATTTTACATTTGCTAAAAGGGATTCCCTTGGAAAAAAACAAACAAAAGTTTAGCCTCCAATTTATAAACTTGTTAAACATTGTTCTGGAGGATGACTGTACAAAGAGGAGCAAGTTGGGCTCATTGCACAGTTTTACAATAAAGAAGTCAAAACTGTGGCATGGTTGTTTACCTTTACTTAATATCATGAAATAACATCTAAGCTAACACATCATCAGCTCGTAGAGCATAGAGGGGGTTTACAGCAAATCCCATCATGCACTCTTAAGAAACCAAACATTTGACCTTCTAATCATTGTGCAGCAGGAGCTTTGATGATGTCACTGTTTTTGGGGAGGGAAACGCAGCACATTCTATTCTATTCTGTTTAATGTTAGCTGTAATTTTTTACCAGATTAGAGCAAAACTCCCAGCAGCCTGAGGAAAGAGGGAAATATGACTTTAAATATGGTTTATTAAGGTTACATACACCAAGCATCCATCCTTAGTGTTTAGGTAGTCCTTTTTGAACTTAAATAGAATTTCAGCACCAGGCATGGTGAGCTGACATAAAACCCAGTTTATAGGAGACAAACTTAAATACCATGCTATTGATGTGATTAACAGAAACTGTAGAAGAACAGAACAAACGTGAGTGCATTTTGTCTCAAACAAAATGCAAAATGTGGTTTAAGAGCAAATAAAAAACAAAACTTTGAGGGGGTTGAAGAGGCTATAAACCACAATAACAAAGTAAAGCAACATTTTACCCCATGATTGCAGAGATTTTCTGGATTTTTCTTTAATAAACAGCATTCAGAATTCTCTAACCTCATAGAATAATTATTGGAAACTTTACTGTATGCGATTGTTTGTATTTAGACTGTAGTGACTAAAAACAGCATTGCTATTACTAGTATCAGTATTCCAAAAAAAGAAAAAAAAAAAAAAACAACAACAATCCACTGGACTATGTTTCCAAGTTTATTAAAGTACCTGCTGGTAAAATATGCTAAATTTTACCAGCAGGTACTTTAATAAACGTTAAACGCTAGTCTTAATAAAGTGTTTCAGAGTAGAGATCACAGCGATCTCGCAGCCAGCTCCCAGATCAGCTTCTCTGATTGGTTGATGTGGCGCGTCCAGCAGCAAAAGTAAAATTTTTCCAGAAGTACGTGAGGCGCTGCTCCTGCTGCTCAAAACACGCAGCGGGACATTTTGCAAAGACTTGATGCGCGTCAACCATTGACTGCATGCAAATTAGCTGCTTCTGCTGCGTCTGCTGCTTGCGGTGTGAACGTAGCATCAGTCTCATCTGACCAAAGCCATGATACCAGGTGAAGTTCCATTGCTGCTTAGACAACCTCCTGATGTTTAGGTTTGTGATTGTTAGTGAGAAAAGGCTGTTTCCTTGCATGCCTCACAAGCAGCTTGTTAGCATGTAGGTGCCAGAGTGTAGAGCATCAGCGTCGGCAGACCCTTTTCGCCGTGGCACGTGCCCCGTTGTGGATCTGCGGTGCCTGGGGCACTGATTTTTTTAACTAATTAACTAATATTCCACTTTCAAAGCTCATCTCTCGCAGCGCTGGCGCATCCCGAGCTGACAGGAAGTGTATTTGCTCACCACCTCCCGTCACAGCACAGACGTTTTTGCGGGTGATTGACAGGTGGAGTGCGAGGGCTGGAGACGCATTGGACAGAGAGGGAGAAATAGGTCAAGAAACATCCTTTTCCAGGACCTGGCTTAGAAAGAAGGCTAGGCTAACTGCATGTAGCTTTGTTCTGCTTTCCTGCCTCCTTATTTAAATGTTAGGATCTGAGCCAGCATGGATAAAGACAGGAAGGACTGATTTAAAGCACTTTTTTAGAAAAGGCAAAGAAGAATAAACAACCTGGGATTCACAAAATAATAGAATATAGTCTACTTTTTATAGATGTTTGTTAATCTGCATAGTTGCTCATAAATAAACACATTGTCAGAAAATAAATAGTTTGTATATGTTTAAAAAATATAAAGCTGACCAATAGATTCTGCATTATTAAACTGGTACAGGTCTGTGACGTCATATTGGACCGTGCATAACACAGATTTACCTTCACAAAGCCTCAGAAGGACAACATTTATGTACAAAAAGTAAAGCTGTTCATGAAATTATGTTTTGTTTTTATAATGTTTTTTGTTGTCTGCATTCATATAAATATACTGGTGTGATAACTTACTATACGTCTGACTGGTTTTTAGTATACGTCTAGCTTGAATTTATAGCGCCCCCTGGAGGAAACTCCACCAGCCGCCACTGTCCAAGACGCTACCGTTTACTGTTAAAAAAATTAACTTACAGCTCTCCCATCTTTCTGGCCAGGATATACACACCTCATAGGATCATCACCATCCCACCATCATAGGATGGGCCCAAATAGAAATGATAAACACAGACATGTAGGTATGTAGAGGTGTATTTTTGTTTTTCCTTTTACAGTTGCAAATTTCAAGTTTTCAGTTTTTAAGAATTTAATGAAGATAAATTGTGCCTTCATCAGCAGTGGATTAGAGATATACAGTTAAATTCACAAGTGGCCCAGTTCAATTTAGTTTTGTTCAGATAGATAGTTAAAGCTACAGTGTGTAATTTTCAGCGACATCGAACGTCCAGACTGCAGCAACATGAACACCCCCCCCCCCACCTTCTTAAGTGATGAGGTTTGTTTACATAGATAATTTTACAGATAGTATTTATTAGTATCTATAGTATTATTTTGTATCTATTGTTCAGTACCGTCTCAGTTCATCTCTCTCAACTTGCCGTAGTTACTTTCAAGCGTAATGGGAGATCTCGCAATCGCTAGTTTGTTGGCTCTGCGCTGCCGTAGCGCAAAGATGTCTGCCTCCATGGCTGCGAGACCCGCTCCTATGTAATTATAAATAACGAATTCTAAGGCAACGCAAATATTATGGTTAAAAGGCTGAGCTCATAGGTGATGATAAATAACATAGTTATGTATAATATATTACATTTCTGACTGTATATCCCTGTAATTATTACACACTGTAGCTTTAATGATGCAGAAAATAACAATCTAATTGTACAATTTATTTATGACACTTTATAATAATAAATAGGTGCTCTAAAATATTTGCTCATGCTTGTATTAATTATCTGTGCCCATGCTTTTTAAAAATAAATAATTGCTTAAAAGTGTTTTGATCACATTTTATTTGGTGCCCTATTGTGCTCCTGTATAGTATTGGGTCAGCTGACGCCCCTGTAGATTCTGATGGTTGTTTTGGTGACTTTTTGACCCAGAGATTCCAGTCATTGATGTAATTCTGTGACAGTGAGCTTAGGACTTGTTTTTACTTTTCTTAGCATCCTCCTCACTGCATGTTATGGCAGGATAACTTGGGACCTCTTCCAGTCTTGTTTGTCACTGTTCCAGTTGTTTTTCTTAATGGCTCCTCTGACTATAGAAACGGGCAAGTTAAGGCAA